ATCTAAGCAATGAGTCAAAGGGACTTCAGGAAATAGCACGGAGACACATAACTTTTCAGGAAAGAGGACTCTGTTTCTATAGATGCTTATCTACTTCTATACCATATTAGGGTTTCTGAATCAAGCAAGTATATTGTTGACTTTTTTTTTTAACCTACCCTCCAAATGCCCATGCTCTGAGATGTCGGAATATGAGATAGTGATGGCTCATAGGCAGTTTTTTTTTCTTTAGAGCTATTAAGCAGTATTTATTGTGCATCTGGAACATACTATATTAGTATTTACATGTCCAATTGAAGTTCAAAAGCAATTGTTCCCGCCAAACATTTTGGGGATCTGTGCCAAAGTTTTGCAAAAGTGTGCTGGCCCCTGTGTGTTTGGAGATACAACTTTCTTATTTGTTTAACATTTGTTTAACAGGTTTAACATAACGGTGGTTCTAGAAACATATTTCTCCAAGGGCATGTTTTGAAGGAATGGTGGTAGTTAGCTGTGCATCTACAGATGTAGATTATACAAATGCAGGGGGGGAGGTACAAATACTGCTTAGGGCACAGGTAAAGTTGTCAACCAGTAATAACCTCAGGTTTAGGTCATTCAGTTCTTTGATAGATGTTTTTATTATTTTAATGTTTTTAAATTGTTTCATAATTTTAGTTCTAGAATTGTAAGTCATATAGAGTCACCTGGTTGAGTTGAAGAGGGTGGGGGAAGGGGAAATTAGAATAAACATAATTAAAAAGTAACTACAGGTTAAATTCGTTTCTTCTTTCCTTTTCCTCCTCCTCCTCCTTCTCCTCAGATAGGCAGGTAAAGGCTATGTCTATACCAGTTACCCAGATCAAGAGGCTGTGAAAATTGTGAGTCTCGTGCTTCCACTACCCAATGGAATAATACATGAGCTGGCTTTGAAGATTACTTGAAAACTGCAAATGGTTCAAAGTGCAGTAGCCTACTTATTGGTAAATCCAAGTGCCATTAACCACATAAGACCTGTTTTGCGGTCACTGCTTTTGTCACCAACAGGTTTTCAAGTGAAATATTCATTTTAACCTGTAATGCCCTGTATGGCTTGGCACAAAGGGATCTACTGTACTGGCTTTTCCATATACCTATCCAGTATGTACACACCATCAAAACTTTTTTAGTTATTCAAAACATGATGGGGAGATGCAACTAAAGTTTTGCCATTTCAGTCCCCATATTTTGAAAGGTTTCCTTCATAAGGTTAGGTTAGCACTTACACAGGTGGCCTTCTGAAAACTGTTGAAGACCAAATATGAGAGCAGACTTTTGAAGGATGAAAATTATGAGCCATTGAGCCTGTTGGTATTTGCTTATTTTTATTCTGTTTTTACTGATTGATAAGGAGCCCTAGTGTTGCAGTGGTTAAAGTGCAGTAGTGCAGGCAAACACTGCACACAGCCTGGAGTTTGATCAGTTGAGGAGATGACCAGGCGGAGCCCAAGGAAGGAGTCAAACACGTTTTCAGCCTCGAGTCTGTTCATGCCCACAAGAAATCTAAATTTAGCCCAGCTTGAATTCCAGTGACTCTTATCTACTCCCAATTTGCTTTGACCATTAGTAATTCAGATTCTTGTAGAGAGCTTAAATTTGTAATAAACCCTTATATACATTTGAACTGCCTGAGTTTCCTGATTTCCACACTAGACACTCGGCCTTCCATCCTTGTGAAGCTGGTAAAATGAGGACCCAGATTGTTGGGGCAATATGCAAATCATGTTTACATTATATTTATTGGTTCGATTTTATATGCTGCCCTTCTCCGGAGACTCAGGGCGGCTTACAATGCGTTAAGCAATAGCTGCCATACTTTTGTATATACCTGCTTAGTAGGGCTTTTGCCCCCCCCCCAAGCGGTGTTCTTTTTTATACAAAGTCAGCTTATTGCCCCCACAATCCGGGTCCTCATTTTACCTACCTCGGAAGGATGGAAGGCTGAGTCAACCTTGAGCCTGGTGAGATTTGAACTTGCAGTAATTGCAGGCAGCTGGCAGCTAAGTGCTACTTAACAGCACTTTAGTCCTCTGCACCACAGAGGCTCCTTATAAACTGCCCAGAGAGTGTTGTATATAAACCTAAATTCTATTGCTATTGCTATACAGTGTGTAGGCACAGTTGCTATTTTTCTGATAATGAATTTTCAAGAGTTGTTAATATTATGGTGGTATCAGCACACAATAAATATAGTATAAACACGATATCTATACAGCACACCTATAAAACAGACAGATATTGTAAATTATTTCAGTTTGCAATTCTTGTAACCTTTGATGGAAGTTCATTGCTTAGAAAGATCTTTACACTTTAATCTTTAAACTTAAATGTGATTCATTTCCTTTAATCAGATTTTGAGAGTCTCCCACTGAGGCACACTGTCAGTGAAATTTTTGGAAGTCAAAAGACTTTCATCATTTTAGACATTGTCTCTGTAATTAGCTATTAAAGAGTTATTCAATTCTACTCTTTGTTGCTGAAGTGATTAAGATTTTGATTCAAAATTTCTATATTATTATATTCCATGGCAGTCAACGTGGTATAGTGGTTATTGTGCTGGATTGACTCACTTAGGCAGTGAAGCCAGATAGGTGTGATTTTAAGCCAGTCATTCTGACTCAGCTTAGGCTGAGAGAAAAGAAAAAAAATGTATATTTAACTACATGAACTGCAGAATCATAGATGATGATGATGATGATGATGATGATGATGATGATGATGATGATGATTAATTGAATTTCTATACCGCCCTTCTCCCAAAGGACTCAGAGCGGTGAACAGAATAAGATTTCATATACATATAATATATATATTTTTTTATAAACAGTAAATAATAAATTGAGTCAACTTAGTGTATCTGCTAAGACCTTGGCATAGAATTTAGATGTTTATGCTAGCCCTGCTTGTTGAAATAGAAAGGTCTTCAGGGCACGTCGGAAAGTGTGAAGATCTGGGATTATTCGTATTCCAGGGGGTATTTTGTTCCAAAGAGTAGGTGCCCCCACAGAGAAGGCTCTCTCCCTTGGAACTACTAGACGACATTGTTTTAATGATGGTACTATGAGTAGGCCTACTCTGTGAGAGCGTATTGGTTGGTGGGAGGTTATCGGTTGCAGCAGGTCGTCTCGTAAGTACTCAGGTCCTAAGCCATGGAGCACTTTAAAGGTAAGAACCAACACCTTGAAGCGCACTCGGAAGGCCACTGGAAGCCAGTGCAGCTCATGCAGAAGAGGTGTTACATGTGAGCGCCATGTTACTCCCATAATTACTCGTGCGGCTGGACCAGTTGGAGCTTCCGGGTGCACTTCAAGGGGAGCCCCATGTAGAGACCATTGCAGTAGTCAAGTTGGGAAATGATGTGGGCTTGAGTGACTGTGCGTAATGAGTCCCGGTCTAGAAAGGGACGCAATTGGCGAATCAGGCGAACCTGATAGAAAGCTCCTCTGGCCACAGCTGTTATATGATCTTCTAAAGATAGTCGTGCATCCAGGAGGATGCCTAAATTGCGAGCTTTCTCTGCGGGGGTCAATGACTCATCCCCAATAGTTAGTGATGGGACTATTTGGCTGTACCGGGATATGATATATAACAATCAATTATGATACATAACAATCAATAAAGAGGCTTTCATCTTGAAGTGGATGATGATGAAGATTATTAATAATTATTAATAATGTTAATATTGTCCTCAGAAAAACCTCTTGAGGACAAAAAGTTGGCAATATATTATTCATGGTTCCATAACAGAATATTTTAATGGTATCTAGGAAACATCCACTTGAAAAAAGCATGCTAACAATAAATTAAAATAGCTTGTATATTGAATATTGTGAAATTTTAGCAATCTCACTATGACATTTGATGAGTAAGATTGTCAAAATCTGATATAATTTTTCTGCTTTTAAAATGCTATTTTGAAATTGTTGAGACCTCTGGTATTGCCCAACATCAATACTGATGTTCATTACTTGAAAAATATGGCTTTCTATTTATTTAGGGACCATTCCTCAGACACTGTTTCCTCATGGTGAGGAATAATGGTGAGCAGATGAAGACAATACACCAAGATTCAAAATTGTTTCAATGAAAACTCATGTCTTTGGATTGTACGTGCTTCTTAGTATAAGATCAATAGCTAATATGAATATAATAAAACAGTTAAAGGTAATAAAAGTCTTTGGTGTTTGTTTGTTGTTTCTCCTATTTTTAAGGCTGCCCACTTTCCCAGTAATACGAGGCAACTAATAAAAGCATTAAAAACATCTAATAGGGGAAAAAAAACCAAAAAGAATCATAGCAATAAAAACAAATGAAGACACACTCACTTGAGGGAAAATGGGTTCAAAAGACACATCATGGGTTTACCCATCATACTAGCTTTGTTTCTGTGGGAAGAGCTACAGGTTTTCAAGATATCCTTAAAAACTGCAGAATTAGGCCATACTGACCTTCGAGACAATGCTATTCCCAAGATATTTGTTTCTTTGGGGGGCTCCAATGGTTATCATATTGGTCAGACTTGGCAGAACACTACTTAAATAAATAGTGGGAAATCCCACTTGACAGTATATTCAGAATTCAGTATATTCAGAATTAAGTAACATAAGCATAATCAGTTTAAGTTGGCTATGTTGAGTGGCAAGCTGAATCATTTGTCTAAAAAAGAAATGATTATTTCATTACATAATCTGCTAAAATGTGGTAAAATTTCAGAATTCATTTCATCTCCTTGAAATATGCACATCTTTAAATGTATGCTTCATATAGCATGTGTCCCATGAACTTTGCCAATAGCTTCTTATGTACGGTAGGGTTTTTTTTTTTATCATAGCCACATGTACAACATGGTAACATTTCATTTATGTCATATGTTCACTGATTCTTTTTTAACACAAAGAGGGCAATTGAGTCAAATACTAAACTAAAATCAGAGAAAAAAAATAATTTTTTTTCCATTCATAATATTCTTGCTGTATTTGCAGGTTCGATGTATGATGGTTTGTCTGATGGCTATAACTATGGAACAGCCCGTGGTAGCTACTATGCCAAAGCCCACACAGGAACCAATAACTGGGGCCATACGGTAAATTTTTATGTTTGTTTGTTTGTTTACTTGCTTGCTTGCTTGTTTATTTTGGTCATATGGTTAGGAGTAGGAAACTCAAATCATTCTCAGGCTTATTTAAAGCCATGTTGAGAAGGACTGGAAGATGGAATAGTTAGTTTGTTCAAAGACATAATCAACAACTTTTTGATGATTGAAAAGTATTAATTTGATTTTGTATAATATTCCAGTAACCAGAGAATACCAGTCTTATTTGCTACAATTCTCTGTGCATTATATGTTTCATTTTCTGGTTGTAAGGCCCTAATGTAGATTAAATTAAGGCATTACTTTATAGAAAATAGAAGGTCGATATTTTCAAATAAGTTTCTCTTGAAAACATTGCAATTCTATACTTTTCTTTAAATGCATATAGATACAGTCAGCATTTGTAAGCAAGGTATTAACTATTGAAATCTATAATTATCTTGCTGGCTGAGAATCTTGGCGATTGTAGTCCTAATGCATCTGTAGAGTGGTAAATTGGGGAAATTTGAAGACGACCAATAGTCTCCTTGTGTTTCTTGATAATCCATTTCTAACTGGATCTTGGAATAAGATGAAACTGGGGATGTCTACACACAATAGACATTGAATTCTGTGTTTCTCTAAGCAGGGCAGATGAGTAGATTTAAAGGTCTTTTAGGGAAAAGAGATAGAAATTGATATCAGTGCAGGTATATTGTTTCAGAGAAATTAGAATGCATTTTATTTCCTGGTTAATCATAATTACTCAGTTAAAATATAAAATGACTAAAGGCTATATCAAAATTGGTCAGCCTTTTAACGTATGTTTATGTTATATATGTTATAAACATATAACATAAACAAAAATATATAAACATATAGCTGATATTTTTAATAAAAAAAACCATTGAACTGAGCATAGTAACTTAGACAGTTTAGATAGCAGATGCTCAGATGAAGCCAGTAGCATCTCATCCTGCCAACCAAGCCCTTTGCTACTATACTTCCCTTGGTGCAATGGAAAATTCTATAGGTAGGTTCAAAGTCAACAGCTTTATTCAATTAGGTCAGCCTCCTCCTCCTCCTCCTCCTTCTCCTTAGAATGGTTTTGGGAAATAGTCTACATCAGGGGTGTCAAACTGGTGGCCCGCAGGCCGGATTTGTCACATGCAGGCCACGCCCACCCCAGCTCAACGAATGGGAGAAACATCACATGACAGCAACGTGATGCAGCGAGTTTGACACCCATGCTCTACATTGTAATCTAGGATTTTCCCCCAATGGATATTCTAATCAGGAATACAGGGTGGCTGCTTTGAAAAGTCAACAAGCCATCTAAAGCTTTTAAGACTTTGATATATTGGCTTGAATTTTATACTAAAATAAAAAGAAGATGAAAATCCCATGCACAGTTGATTAAAATATAAAGCCAATCAACTCAAGGTTAATTTAGATTCAGAAAGAGTTTTCATGCTTATATATATGGACACTACCCATTGCCCCCAAGGGGCTGGAAAACCTTGAGTCAAAGGCAACTGAACAGCTTCCAGGTATGAAAAAGGAAACCATTCTGTCTATCTAAAATTAAGCTGTCAGAGAAAATTAAGCTGTCAGGATAAGAGCCTGTGAAAACTATGCAGCAGACTAAATACAATAGGAGATGCCTTTACTGTAGTATGAAACATCCTTTGTTAGTCTCCTAGTGAAATGTATGTGGAACAATATCCAACATGTGCCCTGATTGCAAATAGTTGAACAAAAATAGCTTTTTGGATTTTGTGGGAAGTTGTATAATTAGGTTGTATGGCAATCAAAGTTAGAAATAGAATGTGTTAAAATAATTGGAATATTAGCGTAAGTGTGGTGTACGTCTGTGTGTGTGTGAAACAGGGAGAAGAGGAAATAATACTAACAATGTCCCTTCAAGCCCCCACCCTTTTAATCAATTCGGGGGGAAAAAGAACACAAATCTAACAAATAAATGAGCATATGCTAAATTGTCCCCATGCCTTCCAGAACTGAAGTAAAAAAAGTATCAATTCAATGAAAAATATAAAACATAGGTATATCTAACAGAACCATGGTATTTAGTCTTACTTTTGTTGGTTTTTCAAATTTATGTGTTCCACTTGTGTGCTATAGACTGGGGTGAATTCTTTTGGCAAGCAGAATCAAGGGTGTGTGTTGTACTCTGATGGTAAGCCATCATATTTTATTACCTTGGTTTTTCCCTCAGGCCTGCTAGACACTCCTTCTCAACGTGTTCGTGCAAATGTTTTAACCTCCATACATCTGCTGCTGGAGAAGCAAACCAGTCAGTTTTTTTTAATCAAATGTTTCTGAGAAAAGGCTGCTGGCCTACCTAAGGGAATTAGAAACACTCAGCACAGTTTTCAGTTGTCATCTTATTTGATGATCCACTGAGTTACCTGAGTGGTGTGGCACTTCACTTTCTCAGTTATACAGGGTAGAGAATGACAGCAAACTGCTTCTAAAAATACATAGTGACCCTATTAAAACAACATTAAAATGCTGCATACAGCATATTATTATGATTCATAACTGCTTTGGGAATCATATTAGCCTTGTGAAAAATCACCAGAGTCATTATTTAGTTAGGTGTTAAGAGAAGCTTAATTCATGAGGTAAAAAAGTGTTGGACTATATTTGGTTGGGAAAGTGGAAAATTGTAGACCTGGATTATTTAAATGAAGTACATAAAATACTTTCAACCCTATGTACTACATCGTCATTATTAATATATTACTGAACTCAATGTTCCTATGAAATTGGAGGATGACCAAGAATGCACACTAATGTTACACTAACTAACTCTCTTTGCTGTTTGGAATATCCCACCCAGAGGTGGGTTTCAGCAGGTTCTGACCAGTTCTGGAGAATCGGTAGTGGAAATTTTGAGTAGTTTGGAGAACCGGTAGTAAAAATTCTGACTGGCCCCACCCCCATCTATTCTCTGCCTCCCAAGTCCCAGCTGATCGGGAGGAAATGGGGATTTTGCAGTAACCTTCCCTTGGATTGGGGAGGGAATGGCGACTTTACAGTATCCTTCTCCTGGAGTGGGGTGGGAATGGAGACTTCACAGTATCCTTCCCCTGCCATGCCCACCAAGCCATGCCCACAAAGCCATGTCACACCCACCAAGCCACACCCACAGAACCAGTAGTAAAAAATGTTGAAACCCACCACTGATCCCACCTCAAGAAATGAGGTGGGCCCCCACTTGGCTGGACTTTTGGAAGACCCAACCCACTTGGTGCTTATAGAGATGTACGCAACCATGGGGTCAGTTAGCGCCATTTCTTTTTAACTTTAATTATTTTATTTCTGTTTTAATTGTCTCCTCTATACAATATTTATGGGGGGGGTTGTTTACATTTTAATTATACACTGCCCAGAGTCACTCTGGGAGTGAAAGGGGCAGTCTCCAAATAGACTTATATTTGCATATATAAATATATTTATAGATTATATAAATAAAACAAATAAATAACTAAACTAATAATATCTCAACAGTTCTGGATTTCCTTGCTTATGATAAATGCTGCTTGTGATAAAAAGTTGCATTTATGTTTCAGGTTTTATATTTTAATTAAAAAATAGGCAGTAAAGAATTCCTTTCTCTGATTTTTTTTTATAACAATGAAATTAATGGCATCCATTTAACAATGCTGAAAGATGCCTCTTTTTCGGAAATATGTTTCCAGCACACCTTTCAACTGACAAGCACAATCCAGTTAGCCTAGAAGTTATTATACATTTCTATTATAAGAGGATACTTGTATTCTAGGTTTTAAAAAGTAGGCAGATATATCATAGCATCCATATCAACTGATCATTTTTCTAACTGACAATTGAATTCAACTTCAGAAAAGGAAACAGATTCTGATCCTCCTTTGCACCCTTTCCCCACCTCCTCAAAATGCCCTTGAAGACAAAGTATCTTGGATTCACCACTCCAGATTGCTTCTTGATATGGTTTCTTGGGTATCAGATATGTTGGGTGTCAGATACAGGTGAGAGATGTGTCCCTTCCATTAATTTCATTGTTGAGCCTTTTCTTCATAAACTGTGCTGCAAATGGGGAACTATTGGGAATAGCCACCCTTCTCATCTATCATCCATCTATCTATCTATCTATCTATCTATCTATCTATCTATCTATCTATCTATCTATCTATCATCTATCTATTTTTAAAATTGCCCACACAGAGGGTCTCACTGTTTGGTGAAATGGAGCACTGCAGTCTACTTCTTAAACTTCCTGTTACCTTGAAAAATGTGCATATGCTATTCCAATTGTTCCTGACCGTATTTAATCAAGTTTTTATTAAGGACTCATCTTCATGGCCCAACAACCAACCACTTTGCTGTTCCAGTTTATAATGCACATTTTTTTATATTCCCCCCCCCACTGTAAGTCTTGTCATGGACATGAACTACAGCACTTCCTTCATGCTGATACTTGGTATTGATGAGGGCTGGATCTTGCCAAGGTCTTATAAACCAGTTCAGATTGCTGTAGGTGCATCCTCTCCCTTCTGGTCATTGTGCACTGCCCTCCATGGTCATTTTGGCTTTAACTGGAGAGAGATACTGTGTGATGCTGTGTGCCAAGGTATTTGCTTATGCAATGGTGGTTGCTCTGGTGCTGGTCAGACATGATGCAGGTGTAGACCTCTTTTAAATAATTCTCAACATGTTTTCTTTGAAAGATAGATTTACATATGATTAAAAAAGAGGACTAATGCTGTGCTGTACAGGAGATTAGTTGAGACTACAAGAGAATCGGATTGTAACACTCTGTATTGTGGATGTTGTTCTAGATACTTTCATTACAGATTTTCCTTTCACCAGCAAAGTTTTGTGTGTGGCCATATTTATTTCTATCATTATTTGGTGGATAATAATATTTGTGCCATTTTATCTTCTGCTGACATTTTCATACTCACCGGTGACTTCTGAGTGATGCTGGCCATAGTCACTAATTGCCAGCATTTCCATTTCTATGATGGATTACTTTCAATCAATCCTTTCTAGTTCATTCTGTGCCCCTCTGTTCAACTGTGAGTTTGGATGCATAACATGGAGGGCAGGGGTGGTATTCACTTACCTTCACTACCGGTTCGCAAATGTGAGTGTGTACGAGCCTTTGCAAGCCTTCCACGCATGCTCAGAGGGTCAAAAACGGGACGTGATTATGTCCGGGTGGGTCGGTGGAGCCTCCCGCAGCCGCCCCTACCGGTTCATCTGAACCGGATAGAACCGGCTGAATACCAGCACTGACGGAGGGGAAATGAGAGACGGTCTCTAACAATGTACCTAGAGAACTCTCTTTTATTTACTTCCCCATGCATATGACCATTTGGCTGGTCTTTTTTTAAAGCATGGGTTTTATATTTCTCCAGTGCTGATGTCAGAAACATCCAGGGTGATAGATTGCTGCCATGGAATTCTGTAGGTGAGCTATTATTCAGGGGACTTGAGAGGTGGCTATACCTTTTCTCAAGGGCACCCGCCACACTCAGCCCATTCCTTTCTAGAACATGTTAAGGCGACCAATTAGTGTTGGGTTTCCCATCAGCAAGTAATGCTTAGTGGGAGGGAAATAAATCCAGGGAATCCACCAATGACTTTCTTCATTGTATGAAACAATGTATGAAACCTGTAAAGGCGGCATCATTGTTACGGAGCCAAATTAGAGTTTGGTTGTCAGCACAGTCCAATTAACCTTGGCATCCCTTTTTGCTGACTCAAGAACAAGAAGAACACAGATGAATAAAGTCATGAAGAAAAGCCCTATATGTTGGTTGAGAGAAATTAAAAAAGCAGTGGCAGCTAGGTTTATTTTATAAGTTAACATGTGTTTTTATTCCAGTAACGAGGGATGTCAGAAACAGCAATTTGGCAGAGATGTCTAGTCCCTGGGGCATTAACTGCAAACAAAAGCTAGCTATTATGTTCACATTAAAGACTAAACATATTATTTGTGTGCAACTTCTGTTTTCTTTTGCAAGTATCCACATCATGCATCTGGAAGGAGAACAAACAAAAAAGGTGTGCACAGATATGTATGCATCTACATAGCTTATTCTGTATTTGTGGGAAGAGATTGCATTTTGGAATGACAAACTAGTTTTCATTACAAATGAGATATTAAAATATTCTTTTTCCCAGTAAGTCTTGGGAATTGTGAATGCCATGTTTTGAGTTTTGGAAAGGCTTTTTTTTTTTTTTGTTCAACAAAAAGAAGCAAGTCAGTGCAAGTACAAACTGGGTGGGGTGCAACACCGAAAATATAGTTTGTAGAGAGATGGAAAAACAGCTTGGTTTGTGTGAAAAGAAGCTCATTATCAAAAAAAACCCTTTTAGAGTTCTACGTCTCATTCTTTTTCAAGAATCAAAGTGGCTTTTTGGTATTCTGTATTGTAATATGTCATTATATTTACCTGCAAAGAAGATTGAGGATTTCCCTCCCCTCCCAATATTTGATCCTTAAAATAGGTTACTTTAGATTTATGGGTGTATTAAGGCAGACCACTTTTCTTGCCTGCAGAAGTTGTGAATGCCCCAACACTAGAAATTTTTAAGAAGATATTGGATAACCATTTGTCTGAAGTGGTGTAGGATTTCCTGCCTGGGCAGGGGGTTGGACTAGAAGACCTCCAAGGTCCCTTCCAACTCTGTTATTCTATTCTATTCTATTCTTTCTAAGATTTTCCAAAGTATAGGGGGTGCTACCATTTTTGTGTGCTTCCAATTCAGTGTTTCTTTTTATGTAGAAACATGAAGTGTATCCTGAAACTTTTACTCTGAAAGTTAAGCATAAACTTTCAAATTCACATAGCTCTTCCTTCAATGCAGGGGTGGGTTCTAGTTACCTTTACTACCGGTTTGCAACGGGGCCACACACACGCTCTTCTGCGCATGCGCAGAAGCGTTTTGATGACGTCACGGTCAGTGGGCGGAGCCTCCTGCCGGTTTTACTACCAGTTCTATAGAACCGATGCGAACCGGGGGTAACCCACCACTGCTTCAATGGGTATGTTAGGTTAGACTACAACTGAACTTCTCATTGAAAGTGGGGGGGGGAGTATAGATGGCTATATTTTCCAGTAACTGGCAGGTGTCAAAATTTCAGCAAGGCTACATTTTTGCCTACAAAGTGCCTTCCAGAATTTGGATGAGCAAAGTAGCATTCATTAACAAAAACATTCTTCAAGGGGTAGATTTAAATCAGACCTTCCTTACCTGGTACCTTCCAGATGTGTTAGAAAACATGTCAGAACTGCTAGCCAAGAAGCATGAAATGTGTAATCAGATACAGGTAAGATATAAAGAATCCCACGAAATCCCCACAGATGCTATTAAATACTGGTAGAATACTTGTGCCTGTATGGCAACAAGTATTGTACTAGCATTCACACCTCATTGTCAGAATATAAAGTTAGTTTCAACTGTTTAGGCTAAAGTTGCAGTGTAATGTATATACAATGTGAATATATGCCTTTGAACATAACGGAAATGGCTCCTATGTAAATCAAGCATTTAGATTGGTTTGTATAGATACATGTTCTGTTTAAAATTAGCAACTTCAAATATGTGAAAATGGGCATCACATTATATCGTAGTAAAATAAATGAATAAAGTTGAGACTAAAATGGATCCATAAAAGGTGATTTCCTGCCCTCAGAACAGAGTTATTGATTATTATCATACGCAGAAGATCTTGTATACTTGTGCACATGGCCTTCTGGATATTGCTGAACTATATTCCACAACAATTGCTCATCAGTTATTGCTGACGAGTCTTTAATGGCAACAGAAGATATGAAAAGCCACATATTTCATGTTTCTTTGAGGATTTTTAAAACCTGTGACAAATACCTATATAAATAAATGTAGAATTTTATTTGAAGTTTTTTGGAAGTTTGCATTAGACTTCAGTGATAGGAAAATAAGGTGAAAACTGCTTTGAGCAAGTAAATGTTGGACATCCTCATTCCTATTACACTGACATAAAAATAGAGGAGTGGGGTGGATCTAAGGATAATACAATGCAATAGCAACAACAATATTGGCAATCCTTAGAGGTGGTAAGAAATAACATATATTCTTAGGCAGGACTGTCTCTGCCAACATGGAAAGCCATGTTTTTTGGGGGGTGGGGGTCGGGTGAAGACAGCAAGAAGACTAGATTATGACAAGAACTAATGTTTGAATGATGCAACAAAACTTTGCCAATTTATACTTCTATTGCAGCAGCCCCCAACCTTTTGGGCACCAGGGACCAGATCCATGGAGAGGAGTTTTTCCATGGACTGGAGAGGGTGGGGTTCGTGTGCTGCCTGCATCCCACAGATGGGGCTTTGCTTGTTTGTGTGGCCCATTTTCTGACATGCCATGGACCGTGCCGGTCCATGGACCAGGGGTTGGGAATCCCTGCTCTATTGAATGCAGTGACTATCCATCATGGAATTGTATTTTGAAAATATTGACTCTCAGTTAGATGCCATTTCTGGGAGCCGCATGTTTTTGACTGGTACCCCTTATTTAGCATGATTCATTCATTGTTCCTATCAAAGTAAATGTTACTTTCCCTGAGTCCAGCACCCAATCTCTCCCAGTTTTTTCCCCTTTGTCTTTGTCAATCAAATGAAGAATAACATTAATCAAAGACATTTGCTGTTTTTTCTTCCCTTCTGCCTTCTTTCTATGTTCATCAGATGTACAATGGAACGCTCAAAAGAAATGCAGCTGAGAACAAACGCTACAGTTCCTACAGCCAAATGGACGGTTGGGGTAGCAAGCATTATAACAAGATCTGCAGTCCTACACAAGCTGGCAGCGACTACTGCTTTGTGCAGAACATGAAGAGTAGTCGGAGTGAGCCAGACCTCTACAATGACCCTCCACGAGGCACGCTAAGAAGAAATCAGAGTGGAAGCCGGGTGAATCACAAGGCCAGTCTACATCGTCACAGCCTCTACAGCAATACATGTAACAACCAGGAAGGAATTGTAACCCTCACAAGGTCAAATAAGAGAATTCCAATTCGCACCCCCTCTTGCACGTCTGCTAACAAGCAAGATGCAGTCTATGCCCAGCCTGTCGCCAGCAAGCCTGATGCAATCTACGGACAAGGTCACTCCAAGTAAGTCTCTGTGCATGTTTTCTCTGTGCGGCCCATAATGGAGGAAATTATGTGCAAGTAAAGACAGATAAACAGCATAATGAAAACCCAGTTGGAGCATTTTGGTTTCCATCACCTTGAAAATAAATAAATAAATAAATAAATAAATAAATAAATAAATAAATAAATAATAACAGCAACAACAACAACAACAACTTCAGAAACTTACTCTGGCACACTTCATATGACTTCAACAGAATTTGCCTGAGCTAGGAAGCCATTTAGGCTACAATACTAAGTACACTAATTAGGAAGTAACCTTATTAGAATTGCATGGTGTGGCTGTCAGTTATGTATAAAGAATCCTTGAGTAAGAAAATAAGTGGTATCCATATTTAACAGTAGATCAATACAGCTGTTGTTTATTCATATATTTCTCTGCTACACCACTGATAGCTGAATGTTTAGCATCATGATTCAATATCTAGTCAGTGATTGAGTTCTTCCACAGAAAACTACATATAAAGATCTAAAAATTCCAATAGGAAATTTTTTTATTTTTACTTAACCTAGATTTAAAAGACCTCAACCATTGGAATAAAAAGAAACTCAATAATAATTTGTATATTCTTAGAAAATTTAATCAATTCTGAATACTAATTACTCATGAACATTGGATAGTGAGCTATATGGCTCAGCTTCTCTTGTGGAATGCCCACCTAAACAGAACATAGTGTTTACTATAGTTTTATGTACAAATGGAATCATTAAAGCAGCTATGTCTTTTTCCAGGTTCACATGACAGTTTCTAGGGGCCTATATGATTGTTTTTGAACATACTTTTAGGGACAGCTGGAAACAGTTTCTGAAGAAACAGTGCATACTTGAAAATGCATATGGTTGCTTTAACTATTTGGAAAGAGATGAGTTTAATGCACCCATAGATGTTTGGCAGTAGTTCTATAAAGTAATTGCATGCTAGATTCAGCTTCATCTAACTATTTTAAATTAGAAGATGTAGAGACATGTATATATGAGCCAGCATTGGAAACCTTCCTGAAAATGAGGTGGATGATAGTATGCAAACTGTTCTGTTGTAATAAAATGTATTAGAACTATTCTAGGTGCAGCAATGCAAGTGGCATGCTATAGTTTAAAACCGAGCAGCCTTCCCAAACCTCTCCTTAAGAAATGATGATTACAGATCCAGGTTCCTATTAGAACAGAGTTGCTTTAGTCTCTTAAACTACTGTGTGGGAAACACTTTCCTCTGCCAAATCTTTCAGGAGTGGCTCCTTTGGAGCACCCTTTCCAATTGGGTGTGGTTCATCTTGTGAAACTGGTCCAGATTGGGGAGTTGTTTGCCTTGAAGCACAGGCCTGGCTGGTGACTCTTCCATCCAGTACAACCGGTTCCTCTTTGGGAGCTGTTTCATTTCTAGAACTGAGACTGCTTGGTCCTGTACCATACAGTGGCAATGGGATGAAATGAATGTAATTGTTTTAAAAAGGGCACCGTGAGTGAGTCACTTTTGAAATCAGCCAGAATGGAAAGTTCATTTTGTATATTACTTTCTGTTGAAATAAATAAATAAATAAATAAATAAATATTTAGAGATGTGCACCCATCCCAGGGATTGGCAGTTTAATTCTTGAGAGCCAAGAGAAGCTGGAGAATGTTTTGTTTCATATGTATTAATTTCCAGGTCGGTTGAAATTTGGAGGTTCTATTACAGAGATTTGCTTAATAGATGGAACAGGGCACAACAAGCTTAAGTCTGGAGTAATGAGAAACTGATCAAAATTGAAATTTACTCAACTCAAAGTCTTGCCCAACTCTGAGTACACAACCCAGATAATGAATCCAGCAGTTTCTGCAGGAAACATGGGATTCTACTACTGAACTGTGATTATCCTGCCTCTTGCATTTTAGCCTTGCCTTTTCCCTCTGTGGAATCATCCCATTCATCAGTCATACCTTTGAATGTGCTAAAGCATTCTGATTACTGTTATGAGTTGTGTCAAATAGTGCTCAATAATTCTAACAACAAGAACAACAGGAAAAAAGAGTCCAGAGCAGGGATGAAATCCAGCAGGTTCTGACAGGTTCTGGAGAACCGATAGGGGAAATTTTGAGCAGTTCAGAGAACTGGTAAATACCACCTCTGGCTGGCCCCAGAGTGGGGTCGAAATGGAGATTTTGCAGTATCCTTCCTCTGCCATGCCCACCAAGCCATGCCCACCAAGCCACACCATGCCCACCAAGCCATGCCCACAGAACCAGTAGTAAAAAAAATTTGGATTTCACCACTGGTTCAGAGCCACTTTCATATTGTCAGGCATTGTTTCAGTCATTCCCTATTGGCAATTGTTAATATGAAGAAGCATTATATATCACATCAGACTACCCCAAATATTGGAAATCCTATGAAACTCTACAATTGTTATATATTCCCAAATCTCTTTTCACAAACATAGAGAATCATAGAGACCAATAGCAAAATCCAGGATTTACCAGATTCCTCAACTACGTGCTTTTTAATTTAATATGATTGAATGCCACATTTATAGCAGCAGAATTTTTTTGTCTAAAGAATGGAAGAAACCATCTTTATAGGAAGACTGACCAAATATTCATTCTGACTGGATAGTCAAAATAATACCAGTGTTTAACTGATAAATATGACGAATTCAAATCATTCAATTCTTTAACTTTTAAGTTCTATGTTTTACAAATGCAAAAGTTGGCACAGTAATCTTGTCTTGTTGTTATAGAAAGAGAATTAGAATGTTGCAGATGGTGTAATTTTTTATGTAATTTTTTACATAAAAATGTTCTATGTAATTTTTTAACCACTTTATAATGCCTTCATAAGACCATACTTGAAATATTGCATCCAGTTTTGGTCACCACGATATAAAAAAGTTGTTGAGACTCTAGAAAAAGTGCAAAGAAAAATAAAGGAGATGATGAGGAGACTGAAGGCTAAGACATATGAAGAACAGTTGCATGAGCCGCAGTGACGCAGCAGTTAGAGTACAGTACTGCAGGCTACTTCTGCTGATCACTGGCTGCCAGCAGTTTGGCAGATCGAATCTCACCAGGCTCAAGGTTGACTCAGCCTTCCATCCTTCAGAGGTCACTAAAACGAGGACCCAGATAGTTGAGACTCTGCTGGGATAGTTGGGATATGCTGATTCTGTAAACCACTTAGAGAGGGTTGTAAAGCATTATGAAGTGATATATAAGTCTAAGTGCTATTGCTATGAATTGGATATGTCTATTTTAATGAAAAGAAGGACTAGGGGTGATATGAAAGCAGTGCTCTAATATCCAAGGGGCTACCTGAGAGAAAAGCAAGTCAACCTATTCTTCAAAGCATTTAAAGGCAGAACAAGAAGCAATGGATGGAAACTAATCAAGGAGAGAAGCAACCTATAACTAAGGAGAAATGACATGACTGTTAGAACATTTAATCAGTGGAATGGTTTTGCCTTCAGAAGTTGTGGATTCACCAGTACTGGAAGTTTTTAAGAAGAGATTGGACAACCATTTTCTGAAATGATACAAAGTTTCATGCTTGGGCAAGGGAGTATACTAGAAGACTTCCAAGGCTCTTTCCAACTCTGTTATTCTGTTATATATTTTATATTTAGGATGATTTTATGTAATCATGATACAATTATGAGTCACAGACAACAGAACAGAAGTTAGAGCATATATCAATAAAGAGCAGAAATCAAAAGAGTATCATGATCAGCATATAAAAAGGCTGGCATATCAAACAAGAAATCTGGGAGGTAAAGCTTTAATTTAAGAATAATTCTGTGTTAAAAGAATAACTTTTAACATAATGATGATCTGGATACTTAATATAACACTACCAAGAAGGGGTGAAACTATAACATAGCAGTGTCCCCAACTTTTTTTTCATTTATTTAATTAAATCCTGACCATTTTCAAATCATGAAAATTAAGCTTATGCCTACTGAAAAGTCAAAAGAATCACACAACTCAATTTCTTTTTAAAATACACCACCCTACATGATGACTGAGGCAGTTTTGAATGTTTCTTCTTTTTATATTCAGAATATGTCATGATGAAGTGTATTATGGAGCAATGACCATCCAGAAAGCCATTCAACTCCTGTGTTCCTCAGATGAGAAGAACCAGGCCATGGGTGCCTACTACCTCCAGCACACCTGTTTTCAAGATGAATCTGCCAAGCAAGAGGTAAATATGTTATTTCAGCTTCATGGTGGAAGCTTAAAAATGCAGAACTATGTCAGAACATTTTTTTTCTATAGCTCCAACAGGGTGATCAAATTAGGAGCCAAAAACATATCCATTCAACACCAAATAAGTTACGAAAGCATAGTGCATGGATAAATAAATGTGGTTTTATACCCATACTTACTTAAAATTCATAATATTATATTTGTCCACAAATAATTTATATTTGAGAACCTAAAGGTACAGCTATTAGTAGTATCCCTGACTGGAATATATATACTTAAATATCTTTATTTGAATAAAGACAAAATATTTATATAAGATTTACTATATTCAGTTAATGATTCTAAAGATATGCTTGTTTTTAATATATTCATTATGAATTCAAGAACTGTATCCAAGAGAATAATATTGAGTTTGGAATACTTAGCCATTACTTCCTAAGTAGCAAACCAGTGAAATTCCAACTGTATTCAATTTTATCATTAAAATGTCCCTTTAGAAAAGTTAATATCCTCCTGTATTAAAAACGTCACTACTGGTCAATGAGAATATAATTCAGCTCTCAGAAACAAAAATAAATACTGCCGTTTGGAATATGAGTCAGAAAATTTATCAAACAGTTTAGTAATTGTATATGGTATAAATGTACACAGTATTTACAAATTAGTTGCACGGTCACTCAAGCACTCGTCACTTCCCGCCTGGACTACTGCAATGCTCTCTACATGGGGCTCCCCTTGGGGTGCACCAGGAGGCTGCAGTTGGTCCAAAATGCGGCCGTGCGGGGGATTATGGGAGCGACGGGGCGCTCACATATAACACCTCTCCTGCGCGAGCTGCACTGGCTTCCTGTGGTCTTCCGGGTGCGCTTCAAGGTGTTGGTGACCACCTTTAAAGCGCTCCATGGCTTAGGGCCGGGGTATTTGTGAGATTGCCTTCTGCCGCCAATAGCCTCCCACCGACCGGTTCGCTCGCACAGAGAGGGCCTCCTCAGGGTGCCGTCGGCCAGGCAGTGCCGGCTGGCGACTCCCAGGGGAAGAGCCTTCTCTGTGGCAGCACCTGCCCTCTGGAACGACCTGCCCCCTGAGATACGCACGATATCAGACCTCCGGACTTTTCTTCGGGCCCTGAAGACACACTTGTTCCATCTAGCTGGGCTGGCTTGATCCCATCCTCTCAGTTTTTTAATCGAATTCGGTTTTAATTGGGTTGTTTTAAATTCGGGCCAAAATTATTTAATTGTTTTTTAAAATGTTTTTAAATTTTATATGCTATGTTTTATTCTGGCTGTACACCGCCCTGAGTCCTGCAGGAGAAGGGTGGTATAGAAATATAATAAAATAAATAAATAAATAAAAATAAAATAGTCTAAACCTGTTGATTTTATGAATATTCATCTTTTTTATAATCTACTAGAATAGCAATTCTGTTAGTAATTCTGGTACTATTTAGCAGATTTTGGAGGTGGGGGAATATAAATATTTCGTACAATCTATCTGTTATGGCACCTATGTGCTGGACAATAAAATCGAGTTGTTTACAGGAAAGTGCTGTCAATGTTCTGAACTCTGTAGCCAGTTTGCAAAAGAAATCCTCTTCTTACACTATTCTAACCCCACCTCACTCACACAATAAATAGTTCAGTGAAATATGACAGTACATTAGCATTCTGGCCGATTCCATGACACTGATGGTGTTTGACAATGGACATAATAAATTTCTGGACAGCTATGATATATTTGAAATTCCAGTAAAACCAAAGATGCTGCTCACTGTGAGCTCCATTTTCAAGTTTGCGAAAACTCCTTTCTCACCATGATTCCTGAGCTTTGGGCCTTTGAAGAGAAGAGATGCTTTTTCTACTTCTTTTCAGATATATAAATAAATTTATTCTGTATATGATCAGACAAATACAATGGGAAATAAAAACAATATGGAATTAAAATAATTTATTTAATTTCCCTTTTGCATGGAGTGAGAATTAGGGAATGTTGTCACTGTAGGACCAGCAATTGGCAAGAAAAAAAAGTTACATTGACTGTTTTGTCATTGTACCTCCAAAAAGGTCTTGTCTTAAGTATTAATTAAATTAATTAAATTAGACTTCCTTTTAGGTAAATACAGTAATTTAAACTCTTGATAACTTTAGTTGGCAGAAAAGAAGTGGGAATTATAGTTAGGTATGCAAGCCCAACACCATCACTTCAAATTTCTTTCCTGGACAAGATCCTTTAAGGCAGGGGTCTCCAACCTTGGCAATTTTAAGACTTGTGGACTTCAACTCCCAAAATTCACTGAGCTTCACTGGCTGAGGAACTTTGGGAGTTGAAGTCCACAAGTCTTAAAGTTGCCAAGGTTGAAGACCCCTTCTTTAAGGGACCTGGCAGCTTTGAACTAAAAATATAAGAAGCATGAAAAGATACAGATTAAAGCTCGACTGTAAGTAATCAGAGCCCTTAGCAATAAATATTCTGACAGGGAAGATGAATTAATGTTGGAGATGGGTTCAATAGAGTTGTACTTGCTTTCCAAATGTCTCCCCTATCTCACTAAAGAAAGAGGTAACATGTATTTTCTATACTCTCCATGCATTACTCAGGGTAACTGATAGCACACTAATGATTGCTTGGTGCTTGGAGGCCACAGTTTAGACCAGGAGATGGAAATTTTCTATATTCCCTCCCTAGCTCAATACCATTTTATTGATCAGTAAAAACATAGACACTCAAAATATTTTACTTAAATGCAAGCAGTGGCTATTATTCATACAATGTAATTAATCCATTCCTTTCCTGAATACATTGATTCCATATGTGAGTCACCTCAGTATAAGTGCTGCTCAGCATCAGTCCTTATTAATAGGAGAAGTAAAAACCAATTTTTCTCAAGTCAGTGTCACAGTTCTGGTCCACATAATTCATAATGCCATTCTCATAACGCAAATAGATTGATATTTCAGCCATTGCTTAAAATATGTAAATCCTGTATTTACTAAACTACTGAAGTAATTTATAAATAATGTTATTGTCATTGTGCATGTATACACAGGATACCCATGCAACAAAATTCACTTAACATTCGAAGACCAGGTCCAACACACATAACAATCCCCAAACACACTCCCACCCACCGCAATTCTCCACCCCTAAACCACCCAAATATCCACACAATAGACCAAGTAATACTGTCCAACAGCTCACTGATGGTGTCCCTTTAGTTCATTGTTGAGTGCAATTATAGCTCTAGGATAAAAACTATTCAGAAAACGTGTGGTCCGAGTTTTAATTGTTCTGTATCTTCTGCCAGAAGGCAACAGTCCAAAAAGATTGTAAGCAGGATGGGAAGAATCTCTGAGAATGTTATGCAACTTTCTCAAACAGTGAGATTCGAAGATGTCATCCAGGGCTGGTAACTGGAATCCGATGATATTCTGGGCAGTTTTAATGATTCTCTGTAGAGCTTTTTTGTCCGCTACAGAGCTGCTCCCATACTATGCAAGAATGCCGTATGTCAGGACACTCTCAATGGTGCTGTGATAGTAGGACAGAAGTAGATGCTGAGATAGATTTATCTTCCTGAGCATTCTCAGGAAGTTCAACCTCTTCTGTGCCTTCTTCACAAGCATGTTAGCATTCATAGTCCATGAGAGGTCCTCCGAGATACAGTATAAATGCCCAGAAATTTAAAACTAACCACCCTCTCCACCTCCTCACCATTTATGTACAATGGTAGATGTACATTTCTCTCCCTCCTGAAGTCAGTTATAAGTTCTTTAGTTTTTGTGGTGTTAAGTGTGAAATTATTTTCATTACACCACAATGTCAGCCCTTGTACTTCCTTCCTGTAAGCAGACTCATTGTTCTTATTAATGAGCCCCACCACTGTTGTGTCATCCGCAAATTTAATAATTGCGTTGGTGTTATACAATGGGGTGCAGTCATGTGTGTACAAGGAATAGTATCAGAGTAGAGGGATAGTGAGATCCCATCCTTACTGACTGTGGCCTAATTTATATTCAATGGTACATTTATCTTCAGTTTGAGAACTGAAATAACGGGAAGACCAAGACATGACTCAATTTTTTGAGATCATTTTTAACTCCTGGTATTAGACAGTTGTTTAGTCAAGCAGAAATATTCTGTTCTGTTCTGTTCTGTTCCGTTCCGTTCCGTTCCGTTCCCTTCCCTTCCCTTCCCTTCCCTTCCACTCCACTCCACTCCACTCCACTCCATTCCATTCCATTCCATTCCATTCCATTCCATTCCATTCCATTCCAAAGAAAGCCATTGGGGTTTTCAAGAAACTCTCATATAGTTCTGAAAACCTGAAATGGAGATAGCAGCATTACCTCCACCTCCCTAATATATGTGCCAAGGAGGGTTACATATGCATACTTTCTGTAGTAGAGGTTCCTTAAGGCATATATTTCAACTTACCATCAACTTTTAACACAAATGTTTTGTATTAACTGAAAGAACAGCAGAGTTTTATGAGCAGTTTTGTTCCATGCACATTTCAATTATTTCTTTTTTAGGTTTACCGACTTGGAGGCATTGCCAAGCTGATTGAACTTCTGCGCAGTTCAGATGAGAACGTGCAGCAAGCTTCAGCTGGGGCCCTTCGAAACTTAGTCTTCAGAAATCCAACTAACAAATTAGAAACCCGCAGGCAGCATGGAATTGGAGAGTGTGTGAATCTCCTGAAGAGGACTGGGAACACTGAAATACAGAAGCAGTTGACAGGTATTCTTTTGTTTTATAGCAAGGTGAAACAACAGTGACAATGAGTCACAGAATGCAACTAAAAGGATACTTTGGACACCAAAAGTTACGCATTTTCAAGAATGGAAGCTAGTTATTAGGATGGCTGACAGATTAAGTGATTTGTAAATGCCTGAATGTATTCAGTCAATAAATTCATTCTGCTTCCATTAATTTGTATTAGAAAAAATTAACATGGCCTCTTATTTTGTGTGAGAATTGGAGAATTTCGCAAATATATCTTACCACTTAACAGGAAAAGAATTATCTCATATTTGCTTTTTTGTTCCATATTTCAGTAATATTCCTGCATTAAGATAAGGCTAAATGTGATCAGAAAATAGACTTCTAGTATCATCCTTCAGTGATGTCCCGATCACTGAAGGCCTGGGTACAGCATGGAAATGTCATTGGTCGCATTGGTTGATGATCTCTGGAGGGCTCGGGACAGGGGTTGCTCCTCTGTCCTGGTCCTATTAGACCTCTCAGCAGCTTTTGATACCATCGACCATGGTATCATGCCGCACCGGCTGGAAGAGCTAGGGGTGGGAGGCACCGTGTTGCGGTGGTTCTCCTCCTTCCTCTCCGACTGGTTGCAGTCAGTGTTGGCAGGGGGGCAGAGGTCGACCCCGAGGCCCCTTGTATGTGGGGTGCCACAAGGGTCGGTCCTCTCGCCCCTTCTGTTCAACATTTATGTGAAGCCACTGGGTGAGATCATCCGTGGTTTCGGGGTGAAGTACCACTAGTACGCTAATGACACTCAGCTGTACATCTCCACCCCGGACCACCCCAATGATGCCCTTGAAGTGATGTCCTGGTGCCTGGAGGCTGTACGGATCTGGATGGGGAGGAACAGACTCAGGCTCAACCCATCCAAGACCGAGTGGCTGTGGTTTCCAACATCCTGATATAGTCAGTTGGTACCATCACTGACTATTGGGGGCGAGTCATTGGCCCCCACGGAGAGGGCTCGCAACTTGGGAGTCCTCCTGGACTCACAGCTGTCTTTAGAGGAGCACTTGACGGCTGTGGCCGGGAGGGCATTTTATCAGGTTCGCCTGATTCACCAGTTGCGTCCCTTTCTGGATCGGGACTCGTTAAATATGGTCACTCATGCCCTTGTCACTTCCCGCCTGGACTACTGCAATGCTCTCTACATGGGGCTCCCCTTGAGGAGCACCCGGAGGCTCCAGCTGGTCCAGAATGCGGCCACGCGGGTGGTTATGGGAGCGACAGGGTGCTCCCATGTGACCCCCCTCCTGCACGTGCTACACTGGCTCCCGGTGGTCTTCCGGGTCAAAGGCTTCAAGGTTTTGGTTACCACCTTTAGAGTGCTCCATGGCTTAGGACCGGGGTATTTACGAGACCGCCTTCTGCCACCAGTAGCCTCTCACCAACCAGTACGCTCCCATAGAGAGGGGCTCCTCAGGGTGCCATTGGCCAAACAATGTCGACTGGTGGCCCCCAGGGGGAGAGCCTTCTCTGTGGGGGCACCCGCTATCTGGAACGAGCTCCCCCCGGAGATACGGAGGATCCCGGACCTGTGCGCTTTTCGCTGTGCCATCAAAACATTTCTTTTCCAGCAGGCCGGCCTGGCCTAACCTCTCTTTTAAACTTTTTAAAATTTTAAAATTCTTCAATTTTAAATTTGTCTTATTAATTTGGGGTGTTTTAAATTTTGTTTTCTGGGCCAATTATTTAATTGTATTTTAATGCTTTTTAACATTTGTATTATATGTATTTTATCTGGCTGTGCACCGCCCTGAGTCCTTCAGGAGTAGGGCGGTATACAAATTCAATAAATAAATAAATAAATAAATAAATAAATAAATAAATAAATAAATAAATAAATAAAATAATTTACTTGGAAGACCTGCTTGACTTCAGCGAATATTTAGAGATAGACTTTCACATCACTCTGCCTTGCCTGTTTATATGGAAAGAGTCACACTACAAACTCCAGCAACAAACCTCTTTAACTTAATTTCCAGGATTGCTCTGGAACCTGTCCTCCACTGATGAACTGAAAGAAGATCTGATACATGATGCTCTTCCAGTTCTGTCCGATCGTGTTATTGTACCTTTTTCTGGATGGTGTGATGGTATTGGCAATAGAACAAGAGAAATTATTGACCCAGAAGTTTTCTTCAACGCCACTGGCTGTTTAAGGTACACCATTGGACATAATATTAATATTTTAATCAGATCATTAAAAATCACTGAGAATGAGTTTAAAGTTATACTATTTTGAAGGAACTATCCTCCAAAAGAGCTATATGTTGTTTTGTTTTGTTTTTCAAATGTTTACAAAGACAGCGATACCAATAATTTAAAGATAAACAATCACACTTTAAAAAGATGGAAGAACTCTGCATCCTTTTGCATATAGCTGGGATTCTGTTGTTTAAAAAGGTTGTTATTTAAGCCTTACCTTTAGTGGAGTTGGTGATATGAAGAATGATTTCTGGGACCTTACAGAATTTGGATCTTGCATGCTAGCAGACTGGTGTGAAGGAGGCATTTCTTTCAGTGTTGGTTTCCAAACCATTAGGTCTTTGAAGAAAAGCAGCAGTACCTTGAAATGGCTTGAAAGGAAATAGGTAGTCACTAAGCTTCTTTTTAAAAAAACTGGTCAAGGAAAGATTGCACATCTAAACTCTTCAATTGCCATAATTAAAGCTTCTGAATTAGATAATGCAATCATCCATGTAAATAATGTATTTGGATGTTGCTATTGTTTAATTAAATTACAAGCAGGTGCAAGATCTATGTCAGGGGTGTCAAACTCAATTTCATTGAGAGCCACATCAGAGTTGTGTTTGACCTTGGGGAGCCAGAGGAGTCGTGGCCAGAATGGGCATGGCCAGCTTGATGTCACTCATGTTGGGGCTGCCTGTGGCCTGAGCACTCTGCCAGTGAAAACAGGCTTCTGAGAGCCGTTTTCAGCTGCGACGGCCTCCTGCAACCCTCTGCCAGCAAAAACAGAGCTCAAGAGAGGCACACACAGCCCTCCAGAGCTGTTTTCACTAGCAGATGCACTGTGGGCCAGTCCTTTGCTGTTTCCAGGACGGCCCCACGGGCCAGATCTAAGCACCCCGTGGGCTAGATCTGGCCCCTGGGCCTTGAGTTTGACACCCCTGATCTATGTTATGTCACAGACAAATGTCCAATTATATTGTTAAAATGCAATCCTTTTTGCTTACTTTTCTAAGAATTTAAATAATAGCCTCTGGCCACTGATTTTCCATAAAAAGTTCTATTGTATTGACTTTCCTATCTAAAATACCTTGAACTCTGTCAGTCACTCCAATTTACAATATTCAAGGCAATTTGTGGGCAGAGAAGGTTTTGCTCATGCTTGTGAAAATCAAACCGACCTTGGCATGCAGATATTAGTTCTGACTTGTAGCTTTCAACTACCAGTCTCCTAGCTGCCAGCAACTAGGAACTATTGGATGGGCAGATGAAACATATTTGCAATTAGAAAATTTAATCAACTGAAGCACTGCCTTAGGACAGGGATAGGCAGTAGATAGATCAGAAGCTACTGGTACAATTTTGGGTGATCTGCAGAAGATTAAGAAGAATGTTTGACTCTTAACTGAATAACAATAGCAAGTATTGAATGTATTTCGTCCTTAAACTAAAGTGCTGAAATCAGTGTTTGGGGAAAACCAGGGATCTTACAAAAGTGAGACTTCTTCCATATTTTGTGGTTTGGTTTCAATGTAACATTCATACAATAAGTAATTTATTATAAATAACCCCAATGTATCACATCCGTACCCACTGAAGATACGGTATGGCATACTCTGTCTTCAGTTACTTTATTGTATCTTCTGTTTTGCTCCTTCCTTGAGCAAAATTCCCTCTAAAATAGTTAGGACCATATGTGCAACCGATTTCTACACCTGCATGTTGCTGCTACTCCTTTTTTAAATGCTTTCTAAAACTCAACCATGGGCAGCTTTATTAAGATGTACTGTAATCCTGTCTAAATAGTTGTCTGTTTTATCCAAATGTCTAATCAAATAATTTATTACCATTTGCCCGCAGAGATTTTCATTGAGGTTATTTATTCTGTTATGAAACATAGATTTAACTATAAAGTAGCTGAGTAGAAAGGGATGAATTTGAGTGTTTGTTCTGTGTCCTCAATTGCCCAATATTGGAGGCGTGGTTTCCAACTATCATGAATTGGAAAACAGAAAATATAAACTTGCTTAATTCCATTTAAAGCAAAATGCAAACCTTCAGTCTGTACGTACAGAAATCCAGGGAGAGGGGAGGATAGGGAAATCTTAGCAAAACCTGCTCCTGCCGACGTGTCTGATGAAATATAACCCATTTTTCATAATTCCTCTGTGAATGCTAGTTGTTCCTTCTCTGGCCATGATAAACTTGCTCACTCATTATTTATTTTATTTATTTATTGGTTCGATTTATATGCCGCCCTTCTCCAGAGACTCAGGGCGGCTTACAATGCGTTAAGCAATAGCCTTCATACTTTTGTATATACCTGCTTAGTAGGGCTTTTTTGCCCCCTCCCCCCCCCAGCGGTGTTCTTTTTTATACAAAGTCAGCTTATTGCCCCCACAAACCGGGTCCTCATTTTACCTACCTCAGAAGGATGGAAGGCTGAGTCAACCTTGAGCCTGGTGAGATTTGAACTTGCACTAATTGCAGGCAGCTAGCAGCTAAGTGCTACTTTAACAGCACGATGTGTTGAACTTCAACACATGATTTGTCATGGAAATCATGATTTCCATGATTCATACAAGCTTTCAATACTGGCTGGGGATAATAGAGACTGTAGTTCAACACACCCGGAAAGTTACAGGTCAAGGATGGTTTGTATATGGAAAAGAAACAGCTCTCTGGAACTTTTTAGTAGAGATTTTCCTAGCACTGCCCACAACAGATGCAGCCTTTTTGCACATAAAGTTATGTGCTAGGTGAGTGCTCTATGGCCCCTCTCTCTTCTTTACTATAGTGACTTTGCAAATTAGTATGAATGTTACAGATCAAACTGCTAATCAATCAGATTATAATACAAAGTTCATATCCACAAGCTCAGATGAAGCCCTTTGATCTGATATTTACTGCTTACACATAAAATACTAGGCCAGGAATCATCAAAACTGCAAGAAGAAAATGAAGCTTACATATTCAAAGTGCATGTAGAATGAGAAAAAAGACCCACACAAACAGGAGACACAATTTGTATGGTGCTTCTATGGGAGAGATCTTCAGGCAATGTTAGACTGTTTTCAGGGTAACTGCCTCTGTTCTCAGAAGCTAGCTGATTTGAGATGGGATTATTTTGAGAGTATTCTTTGCAAATCTGTAAAATACAATTGAGGATTAATCAGATTACATTCTCAAAGCACCTCTAAACTATATAAATCTTCTTCTTAAGGAAGAATTTTCTAAGATGTTTAATGATTTTCTCTATGCCATATGTAAACTTAAGTGAACAAAGTATTCTTTCTTTTTCTTTATAAAATCAATCTTGTAGGAACTTGAGTTCTGCAGATGCTGGACGTCAAACCATGAGAAACTACCCAGGATTGATTGACTCTGTGATGACATATACTCAGAATTGTGTGGCAGCTAACCAGCCAGATGATAAGGCAATAAGATCTTTTTGTATACTTTATGAATTGATAAAGCTCTTGGTTCCATGAAAAATTAGCCTTGGACCGAATCCCAATGAATATATAAATATGGAATAGCTTTTTTCCCACTATTTCTCACTTTATCTTTTAGTGCTCCTTCCTGTAAAAACTACATCCGAATATTGTGAGCTATAATGCTCATGATCGCAGTGTAAAGGGAAAATTACTTTGGATCCAGTCAAGATGTCTTGCAGCTTTGGAGTTGCACTTTAGCAAGATCCTTGTTCAATTTCAAAGGGATTTCTTTATTTCCAAATTTCTTGTAAAATGGTAGCTGCATCTTGAAAGCACAAAATCCTGTTGTGTAACAATGTAAATAGGAAAAAAGAAATGTTCATTATTACCAAATTCCAAATTCTATATATTGTACATTTGGAATACAAGTCGTTCTCAACCTATGACTAATCATCTATTGACCATTCAAAGTTGTGATGAATCCCCCAAATGGTATTTTTGACACATTCCGTAGTTCTGATGGCTGTCCCCATGGTCACATTTTGAGCACTCAGCAATCATTTGCAGAGTTCTGCGGTCATGTGATAGCAATTTACAATGTTTTTGCCAAAAATTGGCATTTACTTCAGTTTCTGGCAAAAACTGCCCATGACAAACAATGAGTTGGCTTAATTAACACAGTGTTGCTTAATTATTGTGGTGCTTGCTTTGTGACCATGGTATTCTCTTAACCACAGCTGAAAAAAAGGTCATAAAATCGGCTTGGTCATGAGATTACCCATTTTACCACCATAATTGCCAGGCTCAATTACAGTCATAAATCAAGGATTACCTGTACCATTAGGTTTTGCTCTAAAAACACATTCAGTACTACAGTCTCATCAATTTTTAAGCTTGATTTTTTTTCACGTATTTGTTGATTTACTATTTTCCAAACCTAATTTCTTCATAATCTTAGAATCACTTTGCTTCCATTACCTTCCCATTTCTGTCCTTATGTGAACAATTCAGACAACTGTTACAAATTCCTTTTGTATTAAGCATTTCCAGAAACACGTGGTTTCTGTAACATTTTTCTCGTGTTCTTTCTGAAGAAACCTTTATGGCAAGCAATTCACTGGGAGTCCTGTTGTAAAGATAATAAAATTTAAAACTGAGGAAAAAGTTTAATTTCTAAACCAAGATAGCACATTAATATGTACCTCTGTGTATATCCACAATAATGATGACAAATGTATTGGCATAATATATAATTAATTATTTTGATTCTTATAGTCTGTGGAGAACTGTATCTGTATCCTTCATAATTTGTCCTACCGCCTGGATGCTGAAGTGCCGAATAAATACACCCATCTTAACCACTTGGCCAGAAACACTCACACAGACAAAAGCTTGACAGGCTGCTTCAACAACAGAGGAAAGCTAGAGGTAAGATATGAGGCATGGAAGTACATCATTTACAGATTGCCATTCAATTGAAGGCACTTTTCTTTGAAATAAAGATCCTACATCCCTTCTCTAGAATGGGAAAACTACTCTTTGCCAGCAGTTGCAAGTCTCAGAGCAATAGTTCAAGTCTCAAATCTTTGTTTTCTCGTCAAAATGTTTTTTTAAAAAAAATGAATTGTTGAAGCTTAATGAGACCCCCCAAATTTTATGCATTTTTGGCATTCCTTCATGAAATCTCACCACAGATGTCCTCAATTTCATGAAAATTCATATAAAAATGTCAAAATCTGAAAGAAGTCACTGAAACCTGATGAAAGGTTGATTATCTCAACTAGATCATATCATTTCCTGGGGCAAGATTGGCAAATTCATGAATTTTGGCAATTATCAGAATTACTGAAATTTGAACCTGAACCACTGAACAAATTCAGTTCTGATGATTGTAAAAGAGTATAAATGGCATCTTAGAAAAACAGATATCTCTCAGACAACATCTCTATTTGTTTTCGGTATTTTATCCCAGTGTGCCAATTGTATAAGTTTTTGTGTATTTGTGCCATGAGGGCACAAATATATTGAGACACATTTTGTACCCTATTTAATTAGCAAGGTAAAATGATGAGTTAGGGAAGAGATGGGTTTCAGCAGGTTCTGACCAGTTCTGGAGAACCGGTAGTGGAAATTTTGACTAGTTCAGAGAACCGGTAATAAAAATTCTGACTGGCCCTACCCCCATATATTCTCTGCCTCCCAAGTCCCAGCTGATTGGGAGCAAATGGAAATTTTGCAGTATTCTTCCCCCGGAGTGGGGTGGGAATGGAGATTTTACAGTATCCTTCCCCTGCCACGCTCACCAAGCCACACTCACCAAGCCATATCACGCCCACCAAGCCACACCCACAGAACCAGTAGTAAAAAATTTTGAAACCCACCATTGAGTTAGGGTGATAAAATGTGGGTCTTTTGCACAATCTGAATGTTTTACATTTTCCTTTTGATTTATCCTTAGTATGATGAATATAATCTACCGCTTCCTGAAGAGGACTATAAACCTAAAGGTTCCAGCTGGCTGTACCATTCTGATGCCATTCGCACCTACCTGTCTTTAATGGAAAAGAGCAAAAAAGATGCCACCCTGGAGGCATGCGCTGGAGCTCTGCAAAATCTGACTGCAAGCAGAGGAATGGTAACTATTATACTTTTTCCCTACATGCTTGGTTGAGTTTTAGGGAAAACACTCTATTTCTTTCTTGTGAAGAAAATAAAACTGTGAGAAAAATGAAATTGTGAGTCCTTAGTGCTCTCTGAGCTTGGATGTTTGCTTGAAGACATTTGGTTACTCTTTATTATCTTCGACACCGCCTTCTACCACATAGCTCCCAGCAACCGGTAAGATCCCACAAGTTGGTCTCCACCGGGTCCCATCAGCTAAACAATGCTGGCTGGCGGGCCCGTGGGGGAGGGCCTTCTTTGTGGCTGCCCCAGCTCTCTGGAACCAGTTACCTCCTGAGGTCCGGACCACCCCCACCCTATTGGCCTTCCAAAAAACGGTAAAGACCTGGCTTTTCTGGCAGGTCTGGGGCCGTTGATCTCGCTGTTGCGATCTTGTGAGATCCGGCCATGAATGGTGTGAATGGGTTTAATGTTTTAATTTTTAAATGTTTTTATAATGGTTTTTTTTTAAATACATTGTAAACTGCCCTGAGTCTCCAGAGAAAGGCGGCATATAAATTGAACTAATAATAATAATAATTAATAAATAATATTCATTAGCTTCTTCACTGATGATGTTACCTAGTCAGGTAATGAAATGCCTGCAAGCAAACATCTAACCTTAGAGAGCATCTGTGACGTTCAGTTCTACCTTGAACTACGAATATTCTCTTCTATTGAAAAATACATTTATTTAGAGGATAATCAAAATCCATTGGAATCTGAAGGATGTACCCATTTTTTCTGTTTAGTCAATCTACTGATAAAAATTAACACTGCTAATACCAATCAAACTTCTTCAATCAGAGGAAACATTTTGTAGTAACCAAATAGTAATTAGGAAAATAATTGCTTTTAAAAATTTCATTGTAGTAAAATATACCAAACAAAGAAGAGCAAAGATAGAAAATAAAAAATAGAGAAACAAATAAATTGAAAAAAAAAGAAAAGAAAAAACATACAAATGCCTTCTGGTCTTCTTTCTAATGAGTAATTATCAATTTATATTTTTCCCTAACTTCTTAATCTCATATTTAATCCCCAAATCCCAAAATTATAATGTCAGTGTTTTCTTCCTTCAGCAAAAATTCCATTTAAGGATTCCAGTCTTTTAAAAAAGACTGCATTTTTTCTGATTTTTTTTTTCTCAGACCAAAGTGGTCAAATTCACCTTTTCTTCAAATTCAATTAATTTTGTGATATAGTCTTCCACTTGTAATACTTGGACTTAATGGATTTTACTTGCTTCAATGTATGGAATAGTTTACATCCAAGAAGTTGGATGTTATAAAGAAGTTATAAAACAAAGCTTACTACAAAACAAAAAAAAATTTTTTTCTCTTTTATTAACAAAAATTTTAAAAGAATAACTAAGAGAGCAAAATAAGGAAATAATGACCAATATAGAAATTAGAAGCATTAATGCTACATACTAATTTTTAAATTCTAAGCCTTAAATTTTAAATTAATTCTACATCAATATATGCATGCAAGTAGTTCTCAAATTGCAACAGCAATTGGGACCAGAATTTCTCTCATTAAGCAATGCAATTGTAAACTTAGCTTAGCAATGACAATCTCTACAATCCCTGGGGCCATAGTTAAGAGAGGAACGTGAGTCATTAAGCAAGCACTTTGGGTGGCTGCTATTGCTTTGTGGGGGAAGATGCATGATGAGGCATGGTTTGAGTTTAGAGGGGCTGGGAGAAAGTGTATGGGGGGGGGATCTTACCTAAGTAACTTGTGACTTTCCCCGACAGTTTCCCCATTTACTTTGCTTGTGAGAAGCTGGCAAAGAAGGCTTTAAATTGTGATTATATGACCATGAGATGCTACAGCTCTTGTAAGTGCAAAATGGTTGACAAGGACCCAGATTGCAATAATGTGACCCCAGGGGCATAGGCATGGCCAGGACATGGAGAACTAGTAATATCACCACTCATTCAGTGGCATCATAACTTTAAAAGTCATTGAGTGATCATTAACTGTGTAATACCTGTAGTCTTACCTCAGGGGTGAAATCTAAAATTTGTTACTACCGGTTCTGTGGGCGTGGCTTGGTGGTGGTGGGGTAATGTGACTGGGTAGGCATGGCCAACTTTTTTTTTTTTACTTTTAAAAGCATTTTTTCTACAACTTTAAGAGGTTGCAGAAAAAATGCTTTTAGAAGCTTCTGATGATCAGGCAAGTCAGCTGGAATCGCCATAGGCTTTTAAAGGCATTTTTTTTCCTACAACCACTTCGGCCGAAGGGGTTGCAGAAAAAAATGCTTTGAAAAGCCTCTGATGATCCCAGCTGAGCCGCGCGATCATCAGAGGCTTTTTTTTTTTTACTTTTAAAAGCATTTTTTCGGCCGAAGAGGTTGTAGAAAAAATGCTTTTAAAAGTTTTTTACTTTTAAAAGCATTTTTCTACAACCTCTTCAGCCGAAAAAAATGCTTTTAAAAGTAAAAAAAAAAAAGCCTCTGATGATCGCGCGGCTCAGCTGGGCATGCGGGGGGCGCAGGGATTTTTGCTACCGGTTCTCCGAACCACCCGCCGCTATTACTACCGGATCAGGTGATCCGGTCCGAACTGGGAGCATTTCACCCCGTCTTACCTACTTTAAACCCAACTGTGGGTTGAGGGAAGAAACTGACAAAGATGTCACATGCTCTCTGTGTGGGTCTCTTCTACTCTCCTTGTTTCGTGGCTATGTGTGAATTTGTGGCTCTTATGTGTTTACTGAAAAATCGCTCCTCATAAGATCTGTTTGCAGAGAAAACCGTGGAGAACTTTTTGAGGACATTTGTACAAAAGTGCCCTCAAAACAGTACAAAAAAGAGGACTTGCCCAGGGTGTGTGTTTCAGTATTTACCCTTGGAACTCCGGGACTAAACAAAGTCAAATTTTTAAGGATTTATGCTTTAACTGTTTCTTAAGGAGGATTCCCTTTTGTATATCATATCTAAGTTTGGGCTTTGTCATTTACAGTTTGTTATCAAAGAACACTTTTGTTTGTTCTTTGGTAACAAACTGTAAATGGCAAAGCCCAAACTTAGATACTTGTGAGTGATGTGCAGAAACAGACCTGGTCTAGCTTTGCTTTTCCTGGAAAGCTAGCCTGATGAAACAGCAAAAATAAAATGGCTAATTTGTTGTTTTTGAATATGATTTTCTAGCAATAAGGAATCCTGAAGGCTCCTTGTTTCAGATGCAATTTTGTTTTGTCCTCTAGATGTCAAATGCAATGAGCCAAATAATTGCCTTAAAGGAGAAAGGGCTGCCTCGCATAGCACGGCTCCTGCAATCCAATAATGCTGAAGTTGTCCGATCTGGAACATCTTTATTGAGCAACATGTCTCGGCATTCTATTCTCCACAAAACCATGGGTAGGCGTTATTTTGTATTTCATGGGGCTCTTGATATATCATTCCTATCATCTCTTCCTTCCACAATGCAAAAACCCTTATGTTACAGATAATTAAGATGTTGAAATTTTATAAATATATCTTTTTGTGGAGAGTTTTATTTTAAAAAAAATCAACTCTAATTAAATAGGTATCACATTTCCTGTTTTATAATAATGCTTCAATAGTTGAAATTTACCTCAATCTGTTAACTTTCTTCAACCTGTAATCTTGTTATTGGGCTACAATTCCCAGAGTTCCTCAAGCACACTGGCTGGGAATGTTGGGTGTTGCAAATTTGACACATGGTGAGCAACATGAAAGGATAGACTTCTTTAGTAGCTTCCCTTGTTGTCCATATTAATAGTTGCTCTATCATTTATTCAACAGTATTATGGGGTTCAAGATTAAATGAGTTGTGAAATGGAAACACAAAGGAGGGAAGGCTGACTGACTGATACTTCTGGGCTGTGCTACTTTTCACATGAAGTGATGTTGCTTCATTTTTATGGGCTAAATATATTTTATCAGGAAACCTACACAAATTTCATCACTACCCGATGCTGATATGCTGGAGTCCTTTTTACATTATAATTTTACATTCAGAAAAACTAGACTCTCTTCATAAATATCTGAGAGTAGTTAATTTTTCTCCTAATCTTAGCCTGAGTAGCTCTTCTGAGAGAGTTTTATTCCATTCTTTATTTAAAGATGGCCTCTTTCTGCCTCTTTAGCTCACCAGGTGCTTCCAGATGTGACTCGCCTTCTAGCCCTCCAGGCTCCAGGTTCTAGCAACTATGGAGACATTATGACATCAGCTTGCTATGCCCTGAGGAACTTAATCATGTACAACCCACAGATGGCTAAGCCCTACTTGACTGGCAGTTTGATAAATAATGTAGTAGGCCTGTGCCGGAATGGGTGAGTAATAATATGCAACTGGGGGCACATAAACAGTGATACTATGCAATGTTGACATGTGGTGTGACTCATAGTGGGTTTCAATATAGTTTGCTACCGGTTCACTTGCGTGTACGCAAAGCTTCTGTATTTGATCCTGGGCGATCCAGTAGCAACCAGGGGTGAAATGCTCCTGGTTCGGACCGGCTCAGGCGAGTAGGTAACGATGATGGCCGGTGGTTCAGTGAACCGGTAGCAATGGCAGCTGGAGGCTCCGCCCACCCGCCCACCCGCCCCATTCCCTGGACTCGGGGAGTGCACCATTCCCGGACTCCTACTGCTCACCTTTCTCCCGCGGCTGGCTGTCAGGGAAGGCAAGCGCCCAAAGGTAGCAGAGTCGTTCACTCTCCTTCTTGAATGAGCCGCTCTGGTCCACACGCCGGCTGCGCAAGCACACACACAACCTGCCGCTGAATTAAATAAACGATGTGTGCTTGTGCAGCCGGCGCGTGGACCAGAACGGCTCATTCAAGAAGGAGAGTGAACGACTCCGGTACTTTCGGGTGCTTGCCTTCCCTGACAGCCAGCTGCATGAGAAAGGTGAGCAGTAGGAGTCCGGGGAATGGGGCGGGTGGGCGGAGCCACGGGAGAAAGAAATTTAAAAAGTTTTCCTACTGGGTTCTGTAGCTTGGTGGAAGGGGGTCTTGTGACTGAGTGGGTATGGCTGTGAGTGACATTGAGTTGGCCACGCCCATTCAGTCACAGGACACCCCCCCCAAGCCACACCCACAGAACCGGTAGGGAAAAATTTTAGATTTCACCCCTGGTAGCAACCCACCACTGGTGTGTCTTAGAAGTATTTTACACTTATTGTATGATTTTTGTCTATATAACATATCCATTTTAAGCCATTTTAATCAATAAATACTATATATTTTACATACAACAGGACTGATTGAATAGCCTTATCTGTACCGTCTTCCCACAATACTCCTCTAGGATTGAAGAATGAGGTTGACTATAGCTATGCAACTACAACCACAAGATAGACCAGAAAATGTATCAGTGGTGCATTTGTTAAGTGAGGCGTCACATGACTGAACCATGCCCTATTTTGCTGTGGTTGTCACAGCAAATTGTTAGGGTCATTAAGCAAAATAACACAATCTTCCCTGCCAGCTTCCTCTTGACTTTGCTTGTCAAAAGTAACAGTAATAGTAACAGAGTTGAAAGGTACCTTGACGGTCATCTAGTCCAACCCCTTGCTCACGCAGGAGACCTATACTAGGGATTCGAACCACCGAACTGCCGAGCTTTCTGATTGACAAGCTCAGCGTCTTAGCCACTGAGCCATCTAGCCAGGCAATTTATGAAGCAAATTTATGAAGCAATTTATAAAGCAAAAAAAGCCAGGTGGGAAGGTTGCAAATGGTAATCAGGGATGTGTGACAGTTGTAAATGTATGACAGTTGACAAGCACATGAATCACAATTACATGACTGCAAGGACAATGCAATGGTCATAGGTTTGAGTTCTGGTCATAAAGAGAATTGATATGCATGATCAAGAGAATTGATATTTTTAAAAACTGCATGAAATGAAGCACCTATCTCCCATTAATCCAGGCTTCATTGACATAAGATGATTCCACCAACATTTTAAAAATATCTTCTTCTCATAACTGCTCCATTCAGATCTTAGCTGGCATTCATATCTGCCAGCTAATTTAAACATACCTCAATAATTTTGAAAAGATGAAACCCTGAAAATGCATCATATATTTTAGATAGGAGAAGGAAAAGGAGAGGGAGGGGGAGAGGGAGGGAGAGGGAGAGAGAGAGAGAGAAAGAGATGTCTGTTTGTGGGTGTGTATTATAGTTCTGCTTTTTTTTAATTACAGATCTTATCCCAAAGCAGCTGAAGCAGCTCGAATGCTGCTATCTGATATTTGGTCAAACAGGGAACTCCAATCTGTACTAAAACAGGTAAAGTATGAAGATGGCGTCTTTTCCCACTTCTTATAAAACAATCCAGCATACCATGCACTTTAATAAGTAAGGTTACTATGTAGTGTGCACTGTGAGAAATAGTAAAAAATAAATTATAAGACTGTTTTTGAAAGCAGGAGAACTGGGATTTTTAAAGTTCAGAATTATGGTTTTTCATCTAAGATGTCAAGATTTAATGCAGCCTCAAAATTCACCATTCATATGTACAATATGTTGGATTATAGTAAGTGTAACACATTTTCTAGAGAGCCAAGAGTTTAGCTCTTTCTCTGGAGATGTCGTGGGAGGGAGCAGACGTGGATTTCAGCAGGTTCTGACCAGTTCTGGAGAACCGATAGTGGAAATTTTGAGTAGTTCAGAGAACCAGTAGTAAAAATTCTGACTGGCCCCACCCCCATCTATTCTCTGCCTCCCGAGTCCCAGCTGATCGGGAGGAAATGGGGATTTTGCAGTAACCTTCCTCTGGATTGAGGAGGGAATGGAGATTTTACAGTATCCTTCCCCTGGAGTGGGGTGGGAATGGAGATTTTACAGTATCTTTCCCACCAAGCCATGCCCACCAAGCCACACCCACAGAACCGGTAGTAAAAAATGTTGAAATCCACTACTGGGAGGGAGCGAGCAGAAGAAGAAAGATAAGTAAGTAGTAGGTTTCATCTACAGGTCCATGAATACACGACTGCTTCAGAAACACATGTAGTCTTATCTCCATGGGAAAAGATAAAATAAGCAAATTTTAAAAAAGAAACTATAGTTACAAAAGTATAATATAGTCAATTAAAGAAAATAATTGCAGAAATACAGTTCTTTGATATATTTTGAAATTTCACAAGCTGCTTGAATATTTATATATGATCTCTATCAGGGGTCTCCAACCTTGACAACTTTAAGACTTGTGGACTTCAATTCCCAGAATTCCTCAGCCAGCAAAACTGGGAGTTGAAGTCCACAAGTCTTAAAGTTGCCAAGGTTGGAGACCCCTGATCTATATAGCCTAGTGACTGTAAAGTCTTTGGTTCAACCTCAGGTTTCCTTTGAATGTAACAAGTGACCTGAAAAAGTATTTGTAGAGAACCCTTTTCAATATACCACACTAAAGATACATCTAAGTATTTAACTTATTTTAATTATGTTTAATAAAAAATATTTTCTCTTGATTTTACCTGTTTTTTTACCTTCCTTCCATGGCTCATTCTGCAGCAAGGATATGACAAGAATATGATGGGATCTTTAACAGGAAGCACTTTCAGGACTTTGTCTTCCAGATTCTAAGAGACTTTGCATATTTGGATTGCAGGTAAATGATTATATCTGCTTTTTCAAAGTTAGAAAAAAAAGTCATATTTCCTACAGTTCAAACCATAATTATAGCAATATAAGAACAATTTCAAATGTTAGATATGGGGCTGCACTTTCTCTGAAAAGGAACTGATTTTAAATTTGGTCACTACGATACTGGTACAGAGGACATGGACTATGTATACCAGAGTTGTGGAAACCACACCCCTTAACAAACCATTGGTTTGCTTAACAACTATGGTGTTCACTTAACAACCCCTGAGAGTGCATTAGGACTGTCACAAAAAAGGCGTAAAATTGGCAGGGGTGGTATTCACTTACCTTCACTACTGGTTTACAAATGTGAGCGCGCATGTGCAGAGCATCAAAAACGGGACGTGATGATGTCAGGGCGGGTGGGTGGAGCTTCCCTCAGCTGCCACTACTGATTTGCTCAAACTGGATAGAACCGGCTGAATACCACCACTGAAAATTGGGTCAATCTTGTCTGTGAGTTGATTTACAATGGTCATGAGTTACAACCATGATGGGAAGACTCCATTATGGTCATAACTTGAGAACTACCTGTACCTAGCAGCATTTTTTTGGGTAACTCCCAGAGTTCTTAAAGTGACTGGGCCCAAAGTGGGAAAATTTAAAAGACAAAGAAGATACTTTAAGCCTTTCAATTGCTTAAGGCACCCATATAATCCTTAGAAAATTCTGACACTGCATCCCCAAATCCTCCCTGATAACTCCTGACATGCCAGGCAAAGCCTGATGCAGCCCTTAAGCCATTAGAAGTTGCACGCCCCTACTATAGACTAATTTTGCATTAACTCCCACATTGTTTCCAAATCTAAATTAACATATTTTCTCTATAAATCCCAATATTATTTTCTCCTGGAATAATTTAATGGCTACCTGATCCCACACACTCCTATCTCTGTTACCGCTTTTTAAGGCGGTCTTCTTGGTCTTAAGAATGGATGGCAATGTAGGACAAGGACCCTCTTGTGCGACAGTGGCACTAAAAGTCTGGTACTTTCTTTCTGAAGCCTCCAAAGGACTTTTTGTTTCTCTTCTTTGAACTGATTTCCACATTACTTCTTTCTCAAACCTTTTAATAAGACACAGGCTATACTATTTCATTACTATATCATTAACAGTGATATAGCATCTTTCAGAAAAATTGTGTCAATCCTTTACATAAATGTTCAATTTAAATCCTAATATATATAAGCCCAATATTTAGATACCACAAATGTACAAAAGGTGCATAAATGTATGACTTTTATGCACAACTATAAGGAATAAGCAGAATAGGATACAGCCTTGTTAGCAGATGAAAACTACTCCGGTTTCTATTGGCAGAGTTTTCACAATTGCAACATTTAACTGCAAAACATATCATAAGAAGCAACTCTATACAAAACTCAGTTTCAAACAGGAGATAGATAAAAAAACATCATTACTAGCATTTTGTGTCAAAAATTGTAAAGTTGCAAGTAAAATTGCAGATCCTAACAATGCAGAGCTTGATCTGCCCAGAAAACATAAATCAATTGATTATATAGAAGATTGGTATTGAATACAAACCTATTCTTAATGGGATGGAAGTAACAGTAAGAAGCTGGTTGGAAGCATAAAAGGAGGAGAATAACTGGATACTTGGCTATAGATAATTTGGCATGAGCAGCTTGGTTCTACTGCAAGGGTGGTAGCTGCCAGATAAGGCCCCCAACTGGATGAGTTCCAATTTCCTTTTTAGCCACTAGCACCCCACCCCCCAAATATACAGAATGAAATTTCCTGCAGTGGAAAATGGAGCTGAATATGTGATTTAAGCATCCAGTAATCATCCCCTCTATTAAAATGTTTAAATAATTTCCCATCCACCAAACATCAAAAGAAAGGAAAAAAATAGCCAAAAATCCTACCCTATCAAGATTTCGCCCATTGCTCTGATGGGCAAAAGAATGAGAAAAATAGCATTCTTAGTTGCAAAAAATAAGCAGTGTTTATTTACAGCCCCAATATCTAAGGCAAGAGCTAGAGGATAAAATGGAAATTGTTCCATTGATCCTTACCTCCAAGGTGTTCTAGGATGCATTAAAAGGAGATAATAGATCTCAAGCAATCAGTGTGGGAGTGTGGGGAGCTTTGAAATGATTATATTTGAAAATATTTTCCTTTTCTTTTTCAGAGCATGTAACTGGTTCCTGTCTGGAGTCTTCAATCCTCAAGGAATTAGTTAGGATGTTAAAAGACTTACAGTATTTTGAAAGTTCAACTAAGTTGTAAAATTATGAATGAAAATTGTATTGTCTGAAATAAGTATCTTAAAATGTTTTAATGAATATTTTAAATATATTTTTCTCTTCTGTTAAATTGGGAGAGTGGTTCTTAATGTTATGTATAAGCCAATTTACCAAAAATTGGGATTTATCATTTTGAATGACATTCATAACAATTGAGACATCTACTTCCCTAACCAATGTCAAGTCAATATATTAGGAAATGCTAGGGAAATAGTGCCTAACTGCAGCTTAATTCATTAAAAAAAAGCATGATTTTTTTTTATAAGTGTGTACATTTTTAGATAGCATTTGGGTAGACAGACTACTCCTAATTTTGGATCTCTAGATATTGCTGGATGACCATTCTCATCATCCAAGATCAGTAAAACTGCTTTGAATGATGAGGGCCCTTGGGCTATTTGGGAATATTTTCCATAGAGTTCTGTGGGATTTACTGCAATATAAATGCCTATAGAATGGCATCCTAAGGCCATTTTTGTACAGCCATAGGTCTAGCAGTATATCTTACTGGTGAACATCAGATAGCATTTTTATTCACTCCCATTTCAACTAATTTCTGTAAAATTAATAACACCTAACATGTTTATTTCATTTTCAATAGCGATTATACATATATTTAGTGATACATTATTCCTTTTTATTGCTGAATTTCCATTCCCTCAATGCCTCAATAAGGGAACCCTCCACTAGTATTGTCATTACAACCACCATATTTCCGAGAAGTATAATACCCAAACTAGAGAATACCAGATAGAGGAAGCCTGTCCAAATTTTGTTTTCATGGGTTCTCTTCTGCATTCATTCATTTCTCTGCTTTGCTTTCATATTTCCCGATTATTGCTAGGCTTTTTTTCCTGTAGATCATTTAGATGTCAAGAAGCAAATTCACATAAGAGAAGTTTTTCCTGAAGAGTTTCTTAATCTTTGTTTTTGTACTATATATGAACAGAGTTCCTTCTACAGTTCTGGAAAAAAAACAACCTAGAATTCTCAAGATAATAGCTTACTATATTTATCCATAACTACAGACTTCTGTATGATTCTCAGGTAGTGTGTCTCACAAAAATGTATCTTTCCTTTTTAAAAAATAAACTTGTGCCTGAATGTGCCTGCCAAGATTATAAACTCAGAAAGAAGATAAGAGAGGTTTAACAGATTAACAGAGTTGGAAAGGACTTTATAGGTCATCTAGTCCAACCCCCCACTCAAGCAGGAGACCCTATACCATTTCTGACAAATGGCAGTCCAATCTTTTCTTGAAAGTCTCAAGTGATGAAACTCCCACAACTTCCAAAGGCAAGCTGTTCCATTGGTTGATTGTTCTCACTGTCAGAAAGTTCCTCCTCATTTCTAGGTTGAATCTCTCCTTGGTCAGTTTCCATCCATTATTCCTTCTCTGGCCTTCAGGTGCTTTGGAAAACAGTTTGACCCCCTCCTCTCTGTGGCAGCCCCTCAAATATTGGAAGACTGCTATCATGACTTCCCTGGTCCTTCTCTTCACTAGACTAGCCATGCCCAGTTCATGTAACTGTTCTTCATATATTTTAGTCTCCAGTCCCCTAATCATCCTGGTTGCTCTCCTCTGCACTTTTTCTAGAGTCTCAACATCTTTTTTATAGTGTGGTGACCAAACCTGGATGCAGTACTCTAGTTGTGGTCTTACTAGGGCTTTATAGAATGGTATTAGTACCTCACTTGATCTTGGTTATATCCCTCTGTTAATGCAATTTAGGATTGCATTGGCTTTTTTAGCTGCCGCTGCACACTGCTGGCTCATATTTAGCTGATTGTCCACTAAAACTCCAAGATCCCTCTCACAGTCATTGCTATTAAATCTGGTTTCCCTCAGTTTATACGTGTGCTTTTGGTTTTTCTTACCTAACTTTACTTTTCTCTACACTGAATTTCATTTTGTTAGATAGGGCCCAGTGTTCAAGTCTTTCAAGATCCATCTGGATCTTGAGCCTATTTTCTAGAGTGTAAGCTATTCCTGCCAATTTAGTATCATCTGCAAATTTGGTGAGTTCCCCTTCTATTCCCTCATCTAAGTTGTTTATAAAGATATTGAAGAGTACTGGGCCTCAGATGGAACCTTGTGGCACCCCACTGCTTACTTCTCTCCATGTAGATTTAGATCCATTAAGGACTACTCGTTGAGTACGGTTTGTCAGCCAGTTGCAAATCCATCCGGTGGTGAAGCTATCTATCCCACTTTTTTCTAGCTTACAAAGAAGTAGGTTGTGGTCTACTTTGTTGAATGCCTTGCTGAAGTCTAAGTATATTATGTCGACAGTATTTCACTGGTCTACTAATTTAGTCACTACATTGAAGAATGAAATAAGATTGGTTTGGCATGATCTGTTTTTAACAAACCATGCTGACTGCTAGTTATTACTTTACTCATTTGTAGGAGTTGGCAGATTTGTTTTTTTATTATCTTTTCCAGTATCTTCCTGAGTATTGATGTTAGGCTGATTGGTCTGTAGTTTCCTGGGTCTGTTTTTTTCCCCTTTTTTGAAGATGGGAACCACATCAGCTCTTTTCCAGTCCTCTGGTAGTTCCCCTGTGCTCCAGGATTTTTGAAAGATGAGGTGCAATGGTTCTGAGATGACATCTGCCAGTTCCCTTAGAACTCTGGGATGTAATCCATCAGGTCCTGGTGATTTGTATTCCTCAAGATCAGACAGGTGTTCTCTTACTATTTTTTTTTTTGCTTATTTTAACTTTTATTTCCAGGCTTTTTTTTTACTGTTATGTTGTTGGTAGTTTGGGCTATAGTTTCTTTTTTCATGATCTTATCCTTTCAGTGTCTTAAATGGAAGCCTAATGAAATTATGTTTTAATAAGTTATTAGACAAATGGACAAGATTTTGTTACATTGCAATATTTCCATTAGTTCATCTTGCCCAATTAACAGTGGATATGGAAGGAAAATGGTTGCATTTCTTTTAGTTTTTAATAATGCAACCATTAGGAATGTCCTATGTTTTCCAAATAATATTTCAGTCTTTCGTCCTCATGAAGACATTCCATAAGAGATAAAGAGATAATGCATAATCCAATGATATGATATTATTGTCCTATGCCTTGTTGTTATAAATCTTTATTCAGAAACGAATGTAAGAACATTAATAAGTATTTCCCCAAAAATAAGACCCTGTCTTATATTTTTTTGAACCCAGAAATAAGCACTTGGCCTTATTGCCATGTGATCAAAAGCCCGATTGGGCTTATTATCAGGGCATGTCTTATTTTGGGGGAAACAGGGTAGAGCCCTACCTACCCTGTTAGTTTGCTATTCTTATAGTGGCCTATCAGATATTGATTGGAACCCCACAATTGGGACATGAGCCCAAGGTTGCCATTTTATAAATGTTCTTCAGCAGTTGATATATAAAAGTACTGTGATACTTAAAATAACACATAAGCTTTATGACTAGCTGTTGTTCATAACCTTTTATTTGTTATATCTATGAACTGATTTATTTCTTTTCAAAAATATTGAACTCACAGTCATCAACACCGGGCCTTAAGATAGCAGATTCTGTAGTTTCTCTGTATGCTGCTTTCTTTTATTTCTTGGGATTTTCCACAATTCAGCATACAATAATTTTCCTTATCAAAGCAACTTAAAATAACTGAAAAGGATATTAGAATCCAGTGAACTTCAACTCAGGAAAATAAGTTAACTATATCCAGAGCATTTTCTGCTAAGTCACTTCTAGAAAAGCCTCTTTGGAGGGAAAAGGAGTTCTCCTGAACAATACAGGATGGAACAGAGGAGTTATTAGAAAATTGAACTTTGTCCAAATTTTAAAAAGCTAAAGAAATGCATTCTGAATAGAAAGCTGGAGCAAAGCACACAGTGATGAAGTTTGGGAAAGGAAGATCAGGTAATGAGAAGGCTGCTAAGTTGAGAGAAAGGAGACTGAGATAGGTATAAAAATGGATAAATAATGGTGCCTTGGAACTGCAAAGGTGAAGGATGGGAAAATTTACATGTCGGTTTGAAATAACCAATTAAATCTTTTGACAGCAGATATCTGTGTTGACTGTATTCAGTTTTAATGAGATCAATCAACAGTAATTAGTTACATTGATACAAATAAGCAGCACCAAATTTAGAGATCCAGGTTCCTTAGGGGCCATGGAGTGAATATGACTACTACAACAGCAACTCTTGAAATAAGAACTACCCAAATGTATAATGTTGTTTTAGCAGATCCTGGGAAATTTAAATGGTGGTGCTGAAGGTTGTCTCAAAGCACAGTGAGGTGTCCTGGATCATTGTAAATAAATTGTTATAGTTTCAACATAGAAAAAGCACCTATTTTTCTCAACAGGGCTTGCTTTGTTTTAAGCCTCGTAAAAAGCCAATAAAATGATGTATTGAATGTCCAGTGCATTATTTCAGAAGACTTGTGTACACAAGCAAAATTTTTGCTAGCATTATTTTTAGTTGTAATATTAGCAGTCCTTTTTCTAACATCTATGCAAAGCTGTAAAATATATGTGCAAGAATCCCATACTACCATTGTTGTTTTTCCTGTACTATATGTGTATTTGCTTCATTGGAACATCTAAAGTTAATAAAGTACTGAAAGTCTCTTAATTTTTCACTTTAACTGTTTCTTACTTCTGCCATGAAATATATAGATAAATAAAACACTTTGGGTATGTAATATTTTGTTTAAAAAATTCATTTTAATATGAACAGCATCCAATTTTTATTAAAATCCAATGTAATTTCCAAAAATATATGTCTGCAAAGTCAATGAGAAAATGAGAAACAAATATTGGTCCTTTCATCAGAAGAACATTTTACAAGAAATCTCCACATAATTTTCTTCTATCATTACCCATTACCCTAATTTCTTATATTAAATCAATCTAGTTCAGGTTTATTGAAGTAATTTGTTCAGCAAGTTTGCCTTAACTAATATTCTGTCAAATTTTTAACTAAATCTCTACAGCAGGATACTTCCATATTTTGAATTTGGAGATAAATCCTAATCTTTTTCATGAAATTCTGTAGTATTGTAGGGAAGTTTCTATAGTCACCAAATGGCTACATGGTCATAAAGCACTAATTAACAGCAAAATCCTTCTACCCCACCTTTTCTTCTGTCCCAGCCAGGATGCTCCTGACTATCTAAACTAAGTGAGCTCTCTCCCAAGCAAAATGCTGGGCTACTGTCATCTCCCATTAGTAATTTTCTATGACTGTTTATGATACCTAAATCTGTTTGTACCCATATTATAGAGGTTGCCACTTTGCCACTTGCTAGAGTTTTATTTTTTTTTAATAGAACTTTCTCATTCGTAGCCATGTCAAAGTGTTTCAAAAACATATAATCCATTCTCTAAAGGTTGTGGACTTGACCTGGACTACATAAGTGACTTTCATACTGTTGATTCTGTTAAGAAAAATTTAAGTGATGGCATGAAGAAGATAGACTACACATTGCATCCCGACTCATTATTTTAGTTTATGAAGGAATTTTATTGACAGTTGTCCAGTTTGTGCCTAGAAAATGAGAGCTCACCTTGAAATATATGATTTAATTGCTGGTTTCATCCAGTTGCCTATATTTCTTGCTATAATATAATATATCATTTGTTTTTTACTTAGCACATTACGTGCATCTAACTATATGGATTGCAAACCATGGATGAGCATCTTCTGCAAATCCTGCCAGTTAAATGTTTATTCAATAATGCTGGTTCATAGCACTTTTCAAACCAAGGTTCACTTTTGGCTTTAGAATAGCATTCAAGAGGCTGAAGTCTAGAAAAATTGATGGGACCATCATAAAGAAGGAGCTGAGTCTAGGAATAAGCTTTATTTGAATTAATGTTATTCAATAAAATTCAATAAAATTATTATCTATGTATGTAATGTTTTCCCCTTTGATTAATTTAAATATTACAGATTAATTGTACAGTAACTTTTGCAGATACTTTGGGGTTGAATCCTAGGATTTGAGAGTCAGTATGAATTTCTGGGCCTCAGATTGCCCATCTATGTTTTAAAGTATGGCTAAACCAATCATGGCTTATCACAATGCATTGCCCCAAATGTCCCAGTTAAGAAATGGGAACTACTGGCCTACCAATTTCTGTAATTTCTTAGGATTGATGCAGCCTAGAACTGTGATTTCTTTTTTGGGCAGCTGCAGTACACTGCTGACTCATACTTAAGTGGTGATCCACTAGGACACCTAGATTCCTCTCACAGTTAGTACTATTGAGCCAGGTACCTCCTACTCTATACCTATGCATTTGATTTTTCCTGCGCAAGTATAGGATCTTACTTTTCTCAACACAGAAGTGCATCTTATTGGTTGGGGCCCAATGTTCAAGTCTGTCAAGATCCTTCTGAATCTTGAGTCTATCTTCCAAAGGGTTGACAATTCCACCCATATGGTATCATCTGCAAATTTAATGAGTTCCTATGTGAGCTCCTTACCACTGCTTTTTGTTTCAAGAATCTAATTCTGGTTGTATGCTGGATCAACTTCTCACCAGAAGGTATTCATTTTTCATAGACTAAAGGCTTAAATCCAACTTTGTCTGTTCTTTTGGATATATTCAAACATTATCCGAAGCTGTTTCTTGTGTGACACGGTACTACTCAGAAAAGGGGAATGCCCTGGATTGAGAGAATTGTAAATATTAATTGTGCACATACATTTGGATAGGGAGCGGTGTCAGGATTTTAGATATACAGTGATAAGAAAGTGCTGTGTTAGCATCTTTTGGAAATATTTCTTATTTTTCTTACCAAACTGGCTTACAGACAACAGTTGCTTGTGGAGACATGACAAGGAACATAGATATATATATGTAAATATAAATTATTGCATGACATGAAGAGTTTACCATTCCTATCAGCTGCCCGGCATTTGCTCTAGATTGCATCTGGTTTCACTCCAAGGAAGGGATAATTAGATTGATGCTACACCAAAGCTTGGAACCTGTAACTGCATGCATTTTGTGACAATGCAAATCCCAGGAGATAGTCATAATTTTAGTGTGTGTGAATGTAAGAAAGAGTGTCAGGCAATTTTTTTGTGTTAAGAGTCCTGCTTCCAGGCTCTATAAACATCCGTGGTTACAATTGTACTTGGTTCCATATATATTTATTTCATATTGTTTTAATTGTTTTTAATTTGTTTTTATGTTCTATGATGTATACTGCCCAGAGTCACTTGTTGAGATGGTCATCTATAAAAATCAAACAACTAAATATATTCATATTTTTTTCATATGAGAATCCTGTACTAAGAGAATACAATAGAAATCTTAGCAAATTAGTTCACTGCCCTGCAGGAAATAAAATAAAACAGAATTGATTTTCATCTTCTTTGCTGTTACAGATTATATCATCCACCCATCCACCCCCACACACTTCATATACAACTATAGGTATTGTTTTTAAGAAGGCATTACAAAGTTAGCCCTATAATTTAGCAGTGGGATTTGTTTGCTCACTTCATTGTGTGTGTGTGTGTGAGAGAGAGAGAGAGAGAGAGAGAGCAAAATGGGACAACTTGCCATGGCTAACTCACTACAGCCATCTCACCATGGTCATTTCCCTGAGGCCAACTTACCATGGCTATCTCGTCATGGCCAAATTGCCACAGGACAACTTGCCATGGCCAACATGTTGCGAGATAACTCAATAAAATAAATGTTATCCACCACTGTTTTTTTTGATATTATTTCCATTGACAAAAATGGAAATAATGGAGAAGATACAGTGGTGGATAACATTTATTCCATTGAGCTGTCCCACTTGGATTATCCCATAGCAAGTTGTCCCATGGCAAATTGGCCATGGTGAGTTGGCCATGGCAGGATGGCTGCACCAAGTTGGCCATGGTGAGTTGTCCTAGACCATGGGGGGGGGGCAGGAGTTGCTGAAGCTGTAGCCCCTTGGATTCTGTCTGAATGCTGTATTCACTGTATTCCCACCCTACCATCCATAGAAGAAAGCCCACTTACTAGTGTTGATATACTTACTATTCACTCATCAGGCCAATGATCCTTGGCTCAAGTAACAAAATGACAGGCATTCATCCAAGGTGAGAATATTTTTGCATCATATATAGGAAGACACAAAATTTGAAAGTAGAATTTACCAAATTAATCAATCTTAGAATCATGGTATCATTGAATTGGAAGGACCTCCCCCACATACCCGCATATACACACATTCATTTTTTCTTTTTATATTACCAAGCTAAATAAAAATGCCTGCTTTAAAAGAGGAATACTTCCTTCTATCATAACTTAGCTTTAATTCTTCCTCCAGATAATGAGATATTATTAACTGGTTTAAGCAATAGACATGGAAGTTTTAATCTTTTCCCAGTGCACTTAGCATGGACAATATGTGAAATTCCAGATGTTATTGAATGGTGACTATTATTGCTGCACACACTGATGAAAACCAGAATTCATGACCTTGTGGACTTGTGCTGCCTTGCTCCCCACACACACATGCACCTACAGTAAGATGTCTACAGGTGTTTATTCAAACAGATCTCAGAAGCATCCCCTTGTGCAGGTCCAGATTCCAAGCTCAGCATGGCAAGAGTCCCTGAGCAACCAAGTCCAATGGGCACAAACAAAGTCCAGGAAAGCAGTCCATGATTCAAACTGTCAGGATACACGGCACAAGTACACCAGGCACAGAACTGGGCATGTTACTCCAACTCTTCAGGATGGGATTAAGTAGGCAATGCTGTTGCAGTCCTTCATGAGAGGTGAGGTTGCTTCCTCATGAGTAGTCTAGCTGACTGGCATTGTGCCTGTTGTCTCTATGCTCTGTGTGTCCTTGCTAATAGGCAGCAGTTGCTCCCATTCCTAGCCTGGAGCCTCCTGTCCAACTTGCTGCAGCTGTGGCTCACCTCACTCAACCTCAGCCTGTTGCTCATCTGATTGACCCAGCTGAGGCTGCTCTATCAGGCTAGCACTCTCTAAGTCCCAATCCTGACCATTACTTGGCTCTACAGTTTTCCTCTCCAGACTCAAGCTCATCCTCCTCTTCTGAACTCAAGTCTGGAGATGGGTCTGGTGATGGATCCATGGCAGGGCCATATGTTACCCATTCCTGTACTAAAATAATATAGTGATAATAATATAATAATAACCTCTTCAAGCTTGTTAAACTATGGTTTAAACCACATTTTATGTAAGTGAATGTAAGGATAATAATGGATAATATGTTTGATTTATATTGTAAAGATTTTTCCTCAGCCATGATTTTTTAAATATCTTAATGGAATTAAATTCATTTTAGTTTCAACTTCCCTCAACTTCTATCCTATTGTTTAGAGATATTGCTACACACAGTCTGTAATGAGTCCTCTAAACTTTGATCTGTTCATTCAGCTAGGAAATCCAGTAAGATTTAAATAGTACACTAATAAGATAGTACTAGGAATAAAGTCATACAGTTTGGTTGACATATTGCAATATCTAACTGGACATCTATATCAGGAGCCCCCAATCCCTGGTCTTTGGCTCAGTGCAGGGCCACAGTCCAAAGGGCTCAGCGGTGGGTTTCAGCAGGTTCTGACCAGTTCTGGAGAACCGGTAGCAGAA